TACGAGCCACGAATGTGATAGATATGATAGATATGAGGGATAAATTAAAAACGTAAACATCGTAATAACGTTTGAATAACAGCCTTAAAAATTTGTAGAAGGGTAGTAATAGGCTGAGTACTTTATAGTTGCCCAAATTTAGGATGGAAAATTATAGGCAGAGATGGATGGTGACTAGAAATGGAGTTCAGGATTGGCGTACAATCCTATTTGAGACTCATAAACTGAACAAAACTGAATCCTGGAGTTGATATAGTAACCCAGTGATGTTCACCTCAAACGCCATCGTGTTACCATGTAACTACTGAGTTTTGATAACCACTGGTTTGAAAAATGCTTGTACAATTTTAAAGTTTAATTCATTTACATTGGTTAGTTGAATGTACCCAGTGATGTTTAGGACTGTGATTGATCTTTCTTTTTTTGGAATATTTGCATCATGTGAGCATTGCCTCGTTATTGTCAATACGTAATAAACATTATAAGATGAAAATATGCAATATCGACGTTTAAACGCTACTAATTCGTGGTGTCACAAACTACAATCACATTGAATTCAAACTTCAAGATGTACTTGAAAAGAATATCATTTCAAGAATTAGACATGACAAAGAAATATTATTAACAACTTCATACCCTATCGCACCATTATTTATCAAATTATCGAGCAATTTGTGCTCATTTGTTTGTTTCAGTATGCACAGCTACGATCATTTACCAAATAACACCAAGACATCTCTGTTGTTACAAATTGAATTATGCGTTTATTAGTAATCTTAACGCAACACCATTTACTGTTAAAGATATCATATTCTGGAACAGGATATGTATTAAATAAAACCATAAAGTAGAATTTTTCTGTTTTCAGTTAAATACTCAAGTTTTGTACCCCAATTATAAATATATATTCGATTAACTGAATATATTTTCTGGTTAGCGTTTTTATAAAATATAAGAAGGTACAAGTATTTATAAATAACTGTCTACGCAAGATACTCAAAATCCATTGGCCGGATACCATCAGCAACAGTCTTTTGTGAGAGAGAAAAAACCAGCTTCCAACTGAAGAGTAAATTAGGAAAAGACGATGGAAATGGATAAGGCATACATTATGCAAATCATCAAACTGCATCACGAAACAAGCCCTATTCTGGAATCCTGAAGGGATTCGGAAAAGAGGAAGGCCAAAGAACACATTATGTCGGGAAATAGAAGCGGATATGAAAAGGATGAATAAGAACTGGAAAAAGCTGGAAAGGATTGCCCAGGACAGAGTTGGATGGAGAATGCTGGTGAGTGGCCTATGCTTCTCCACGAGGAGTAACAGGCGAAAGTAAGTTAGTAAGTAACTGAATATACAATGTCAAGACATTAAAAATCCACTTAATATAATATTAAGACAGTATAGTATTGTGCAAATTTTTCTTGAAGAAACAACACATTATTTCAGTGTAGATACATTTTATTAAGCTCTAATGATTTTCCATGAAATATGTTTCAGATTGTTCAGCATTTCTATTTTCTTTAGATGAAGTTCTGCATGTAGAATAAAATTATTTTTATTGAAAAACTTCCAAATTTCCAATAATAATGAATATATTAAAAAGACTAATCTTCTCTCAATTTCAATGTTAATTGAATATTAAATGAGAATAATAAATCTATTGAAAATATTTCGATTAGTTCAATTCAAACTTTTGATATTCAGACATTTTGTATCCAATTTGACAATTTTATCATTAAAACGTTTTTAACTTTTTAACAATTTTCTACTTTTATGAATTTAAATAGTTTCAGATATAATAAATATGACAAAATGACATAAATTCATTTCATGATTTCGCCTCAGTTGCTAACAATCACATTTGTATTAAAATATAACATAATATTGAATAGTAGAGATCAGTAAATCAGAAAATTGGAATGACAACTATTATCGATATTATTACCAATATTATATCAACTAACTGGTACATTCATCTATGAAATTCCCATGATCCAATATATATATATATATATATATATATATATATATATATATATATATATATATATATATATATATATATATAAGAATGTGGGAATGTGTAAGTTAATTTAAAAAAACATACAGTGGATGAGATAGAAATTGTCTGGTATTCAAAAATTGATAAGACTGACTGCGCAATGTTTGTAAAAGTTTTGAAGAGTTCACAGGAGTTTAATAACTACGTGATTAGAAACTATAGATGAATGTACTGGTTAGTATGTATGATATTGGTAATAATATGGGTAATAGTTGTCATTTCAATTTCTTCAGTTATTGATCTTTGCTATTCAACGTTATATTATATTTTAATACAAATGTAGGTGTTAGTAATTAAGAAGGAATCAAGAAATAAAATAAATTCATATTAGTTTGCCGTATTTATAGTTCTGACCTCGTTTTAACAAACTGTTTATTCCTAATGGTGACATTTTTGAAAAGTAGTCTTGTCAAATTTAGAGTTATCAAATATTTTCTCAAGAAAAAAACTTGGTTTTACTCAATTAATAGAATATTTTACCAGAATCACTGAGTCTCAATCCATCAAACTTATTTCTGGCATCGACATTGTCGGAAAAAGTGAGTTATGCTGAAGATATGAATGTCATTACGTGTTATTTTGTACGACTGAATCTTCTGGGAATTTATATTGAAGTAAACGTATCATGAGAATGCATTATTATTCATTTCATTAGCGTTTTAAATTTGACTTAACTCTAACCAGTTATTAATCATATTTGTAATGTCGTGCTGACCATATATCACAAATGCATTTGCTGACATGATATTTTCATAGTTGAGAATTTTGTGTAGATTCCTTTTCATGGATTCCTAACAATTTAATTTTCGTTAAAACCCTTGAAAAGTGTCTAAATAAAATTTGATTTTCCGGAAATGAATACCCAAACAATGCCCAACATGGTCATTGAAATGTGACTGTATATCAATCGACAATTCTAATGCTAAACTTTCGGTCGTCTGGTCAACTATCGCTACCAGAATTTCCGTTTAAAATTATTGACAACTTAAGACGAACTTGTCTTCAAGTAGATGTTTGCATAGCAGAGGGTTTGTTAATTAATCAGTTCAAACCTGGACTTAATGTTCATTAACGGTATAATCAATCCTTTAATTTACTATAGTCTTAAAACCTTATTTTGTGAGTTGTTTTGGGTACATGTTTATCTCATGTTTATAGTTGTTAAATGGATAATTAACTTTCATATATCTCTTTTAGGTGCTGTTTTTACTTTCATTACCTATCGAATATAAACCAACTTTATTTGTTAACTGAAAACATTATTGAACATTTGAAATCATTATTAATAATGTAGCGATTTCTATGTTACTATAAACCACTATATTTAAACTAATTATAAATTCAATTATAAAGCCCTAATAAAAGACATGACTAGAGTGAAAATTTTCTTTACTGAATTGACTTTATTTTTTTTCAATAATAATTACATATTTATTTAATCAATAGTTTGAAGCGTTTCCCCACTTTTAATCGTTCAATAATTATACTTTTAATCGAGAATTATTATTACAATTAAGTGTCATCGATTATGTTAATTGGTCTATTCATTTTGTAATTTGTTTATGAACACTTTATTAAATTATGTAGTCATATATATTTAAGTGCATAAACAAAAATTTTTTTTTCACTAAAATATTTTGATTTATGCCAATTTATTTATTATTATCAGAAGGGGTTTTGTGGAGATTTTAGTCCAGTGTTTCCAGGTTTCCCATGGTGGTTTAGCTTCAATTGACTCATGATTTCAACTATTAAGATTATTTATTATTGTTAATTGTTAATGGAATCATTGGTCATACATAATGTAGATAGTGATTACTATTTGAACGCACCAGTTCAGTGAAAGTTGACTGCAAATTGTGTTATTGCATTAACAAAAATAAGATAAAAAAAGTAATCTTAGTAACTATAATTTAAATAGTTTAAATGTTTCTACCCTTTCTTAGGATTGAATACATGAAGTTTATCTCATGTGAATGTCTAAGTATAACACTTTTCCACAGCAAATGATAATCATGTAAAATGAATGAGTCGGAGTTTTTATCATTAACAAAATTTCTGTAAAATATTCTCTGAATACTTTTAAGTTAGATTTTTTTGCTACTGTAACTTTTCTAAAGCTCAAAGGCTGATACTTGATTTAATGACACATTCTCATAGAATTGAATCATAGATAATTTGAAAGCGGTTAATAATACTATGAGTATAAGTACTGGATTTGAACTACTGACCTAGTAGTTGAAAGTCAGACTTATTGACCCTAGACACTTAAATCTATTAGGAAACATCATCTTAATATTTACCACTGATATTTCTAACGTTCAGTATATGAGTGATGGAAATTGTTGAATATTATAGAAATCACTTTGATCATGAAGTAAAATATAATATTACTATTGTTTCTTTGATTCTATTTTTAAAATAATTACTAATTTCTATCATAAAAGTGCTCTTCAAAAGAGTCTAATATCTCATATAGATCATCAACATTTATTAAAAAATTACTCTTCTCATTTCTCAACCGTCAGCTTGTGTTCCAATATTAATTGTTAAAACATAAAATTTGCCTGAAGATTACTTATGTTTATACATAATTACATAAAGAAGGTTGCTAAGCAATAATATTTTTCTACAATACATTACCTTGAGTTAATGTCCTTAATATTGTTTTTAAAACTGTCTCTTGTTTAAGTTTCTTCATACTATCTATATGTCTTACATCTAAAATTTGCTTCTAGCAAACCGATTATAATAACCAACCAATCAAATCAAGTTGTGGTAGCATTACATTGACCAATAAAATGACAGAAATAGAATCATTTAAATTTCTGCGAAATAGGATGAATATATATATAACAAGTGAATTAACATTTAATACATTATGCATTATTTAGGAATAATTTGATTTCTTTCGAGTTCATATTATTCTTATAATTAATGTTAATAACTCGGAATTGATTAACAAATGGATATGTAACAACTTCAGATTTCGTATTTTGAGTAATATTGAATGAGCAAATGAGAAAAACTCATTTTTATTTTTATTTCATACATGATGGCTGGTTCACGTAGAGGACTAGTAGCTCCACAAAATATATTTCTTGAAACAGTCTTAAGACGATTTAGTACACCACGTAAGTTCTGAAATTTTACTTAGCATAAACTACTACTAAACTAGGTTTAATATTTTATAAGTAATATAACTCTTGTATAGTTAAGTTTATATAGAAGTACTTTTTTCTAGTCAAATAAGACTAAGTAAGGAAATGAGATAATTTAAAAAAGGAAAACAATTTAAAACATTTATAAACGGTTAATTAAAATTTATTCAGACATTTTGCGCTATTAAGTAGAGATATTCTTGATATATCAGTAGTTTGAATTTACTTACTATTAAATCATATTCATAATAATTCACCTATAAAGTATTGTGTCTTGAAGACAATTTATATCCCACTTTGAGCACAATTAAGAAATTGTTAAAAATCAGTTTGTTCTCTGTAGGTTTAGATTCTATATTATGACTCAGTAGTGTTCTACATTAACACCTAATTACAATATACATTTAGCGTACTGACCAGTTACAACGAAAATATTGCTTCGAAAAACTGCTGTGAATGTATGTTTATCTTTTCAACAAAAGAGTAGAAACAAACTAGAACAAATTATATGTAGTTTAACATCGATAAGAATCCATAAGTATAATTTTCAATTTATTAACGAAAATACAAACCCACTTTGTGTATTCAAAACCAGTTTCCTCTCACCTTAAACCTACCCTGGTAATATTAGTTTATTATCCAGAGTGATGAGGTTTCAAATTATTTCCGCATTATTATTATTACTCTTATTATTATCTTTGTTTCCGCTTACCCCCAATTTTTAGTCTAGTTAACTCTTTTTTTATTATATAAATGTTCTTAACAAGTATATGTTTCATCAGATTGTTCAAAATGCATTGTGTTAATACATCACACAGTTCTGATAATCTTCGTCTTTTTATTACACTATCGAAGGGACTAATTGCTTCAAAGTAAAGTTGATTTTCCATCACATTTTGTTTTCCGTTCCAAACGGTCAGGCTTCATCGGGTGCTTATATATAATGATTGTAGTTATCAATGTCACCTCGTAGAGTCAAACAGTTGACATCTTACTATTTTAATATTTACTATACACAACTTTTACATGGTTTATCAATCACTTGAAAAGAAAAACAATTTGAAAGTTACCATTTCGATCAATAAAACTTGTGTTTTTAAAATATAGACACATTTATTTCCGAATATGAGGCCTTGACAAATCCTTCTATTGCTTTATTTATAACTATGTTTACTCTTTTTTATGCAACAGTCACACAACCCAATTTATGTGACCTTAAGACGTGTTATAACATATCATAAATGCCTAGTATATATATTACATTTAAGATATTTCGGATATTGCATTGTTTTTGAATATTATATGAGTTTCGTTAGATCTATGTTATAAACTCACTGTAAATAAGATAATGAGCTTAATTTATATGCAAACTAGAACAACATGTTTACGTGAACAATCTTGTTTCAAATTAGACCTTTATTTGGTTTCTCCCCAATATATAGTAATATTTATATGTATATTATGAAAAATCACAGCAACCACGGCAAGTTATGATTTAACGATAACTATGGCATAGATAATGTTAGTAGAGATAATAAACCATAAGCACAAACTGATAGACGAAAAATGTAATTGTAATAATAATAACAATAAATAGCATCATAAAATGAACAAATATTTCAACATACGATGCATTGTTTGTCGACTGATTTCTAGTTTAACACTTTTAGTTTATTATTATTCAAGAAAAGTTTTCTAAAAATATGTCAAATGTTAATTTCTCTTTTAAAAAAATGCAGCACTTTTAACAAATTCATTACAATTTTGAAGATTTGTGGAGATTGTAGTATTTTCAAAGTTGAATTCACGAGTCAATCTAAGCCAGGCCACCACTGAAAACCTGGAAACATTGGACGGCAATTTTGTCCTAGTATGGGACTCAGCAGTATACATCCGTGATCCCGAGCCTAAAGGTCTTAGGTTCGAATCCCGCTTGCAGGATCGTGAACACACACTGCTGGGAAGTCCTACACTAGAACAAAAGGGCCGTCCAGTGATTTCAGACTTTTGGAAGGTATTCTACCTTAGATTAACTTGTTAATTCATTACCAATGTTATAATACGTTTAACATCATATAGAATTCAACCTTATATTTAAAAAAAAAAGACAAACGTTATATCGACATCTTTAGTTATCGAAAAATAGAATACATTCAACTGAATATCATAATCTTTTTAAATAGCCTTTTTTGTTTTAGAAGAAGAAGAGTTATTATTTGTAATTAATAATCTACTTAAGATTTTATAGAAACTGTAAACGTATATAGTAAAGAAGTTTAATTAATTATAAATATTATGATTCAATATATTCTTCATCATTTATTTAGGTGAAAGTAGGGCGTTTCACACTTAGACTATAAAGTTGATTTATTTATTTTTATCTAAATCGTCTGTAGAACTGAATGTAATTTGTACGTATGTATGTATGTATAGTAAATTAAAAAAAATAATAATTTCGCAGATAAATCTATTTCTAATTAGATAATATCACTTCTTTTCTTGCTTATTAAAACACTATGTATTTAAATATGCTTTAATATATATCGTTTTTTAAAAAAAATAAAAGTCTCCTTGGATTCTACGGTTACAAATTTAAACTGACAATTCATTTTTTGGTTGAAGAAAAGAAAAAACATTAAGTAAAGAAAACTTTCTACATAACAATATCATTTACTTATATTAATTATCATACAATTATTTATGAACTCATTATAATTAGGATTATTCAGCTTTAGTTAGTGATATCATTACAAAGAAGATTTTCTTTACATAATTATCATTTTGAGTGATATAACTAGAAAACCTGAAGTGAATTTATTGAGAAGGATATCCTTCATGCTTAGTACTACTAAGATATTTAAGCACCATAAATGTTTTCAGGTTCTTTTGTTTGTATTAAATAAAAAAATCTCAAACATTTATTTTATGCTTATGTTTAAAGTGTCTGCTAACTGTAATGAATCACATCTAGTAGTATAATAGTGAACGAGAACACGAGTGGGAACAACCGAATGTATTTCAATACAAAATTACAGAATCTCTTAGTAAAATCTAAGAAATATACAATAAATACTTCATTTGCAAAATGTTAATCAATCGTTTCAGACTTCATTGTTCTTTCGTTTCTACACCAAATATTTTCTGTTCTCGTTCTCTTTTCCTTGATCTCCAGACGTTAGACCTTTCATTTTCGATTGATGATACATACTACTTATGTCTGTCGACATCAGTAGCACATACCATAGTATTATTAAGAACTCGCACAAATATCACATATAAAATGATTTGATTATATTATTCTATTTCCATCAGCCATTCGATTCATGACACCTTAAACACATTTGTTTTATCAAGTATCTACAATTCCCTATGATATATTGAGATTATAAAACTATTTGATTTCAATGTTTGAATGGGATAATTTTTTAAAAACTTGTTTATATCTAGGTGGGTGTGATTTAAAAGAAGATACATCATTGATATTCATGTAGACAGCAATAATCAATACAAACTAAACTAATAAAATATCGTAATCTTGAAGTATCAAAATATAAAGAAATCCAAATAATGTTTAATAGCTTATATTTTAGTTCTCTTAGTAATAAATAGACATATTGAAACAATTTCGATTTCTCGATCATTTAAATAAATCATAAATGACAATAATATCGGAAATCTAATTAAGGGTGATGACAATCGAGCCATGAAATCGGAATTTAGGCAAATTTTAAGAATAAAAGAACTAATAATTATTTTTAGAGAAAAATGTAACAGAATAATGTAAACATAAAACAGAGTCCGAATTAAGGTTCGAAATATATAGATAACGTAAGTGACTGAAACGGAAATAGGACGATCCTTGTCATGGCAAAAAAAGCTATACATGTTTGTTTTTTTACACAGAAATAATTTACTCTTGTCTATACATACGATTTCTAATATATATTCGCTTAATTCACTTGAAATTATTTGCTTGTATATTCCCATTATTGTTTAAGACTGCAATTTATCAGTCTCATATTGGCATATGTGTATCCTATTCGGGCTGCTTCAATATTGCCTTAGGTCACAAGCTTTATAATCAAAAACGGGTAGTGGCTAGCAGTGAAATCGAGGACGCACGATTCGTTTTATATGAACATCAACTATGGGAAGCAAGTACATCCAGCTGACGAAAAAAGGACAACCTGTTAATCTTTACAAGTTAAATAAAAACAATCATCAACTTGTCTTAAACAATGTATTATGCATCATTTTTCAATGGGTTTCAAATTATAATCATTATTTCATGTCTACTACAAAAATTAGTTTAAATTGTGTAATAGTAATTAAAATTAATATTTTCAAGGAACACTTTCTCGACTATAAACATTGTTTTCGTAACAGTGATAGAGTGTAGAAAAAGTGTGTTAAATACGCTTCGAAACCACTGTGTATTCACTATGCACTGTATGCATTCGGTAATTTCATAATTCAATATTTTTAGTTTTTTAGGTGTATCTAGCTCTTATTAATTAACAAGCTTCTTACAGCGTTTTAAGAAACATAAAATATACACAAAGATAGATAGTGGCTAGCAATGGAACATCAACTCTGAGATGTAGGCACACCCAGCTGACGAGTTCTAAGTGGGACAGAACTCACGTCCTGGATTTCACTGCTAGACGTTATCCATTTTTGCTTATAATGCTTGTGACTTAAGGTCATATCGAGGCAGTCCGCACAGGGTGCACATATGCCAACAAGCGACTGATCAATTGCAGTCCTAAACACCAATGAGAAGATTCAAGTAAACAATATCATATGAATTTAGCCGAGAAAAATGTTACATTTACAAATAACAGATAAACCTAATAACAGAACAGTGAACCACAAACAAAATCTATTTATTTGGTTTATCGTAAGCTAAAAGTTATTGAAACGTTGTTTGGAAATATTTCTTCAATACAAATCTTGAGTGCACAAAAGATATATAACTGATATTTCTAAGTCAGGATTAAGTTCAATCGTAAATTCGGTTTCACAATACGAGTAAACCGAATTAAACTAAAAAAGGTCTAAATGTATGTTATTTTGTCAATATTACTACATTCACTCCAAATTATGACTGAGTTTAGTCAAAGCTATTTGAACAGAGTGCATTTCTGGCTTAACTATTCTTAATTGAAGGTTAATTCCGACAACGTCTCACAGAGACTCTTTAATGTTTTCTGACAGGTTAGTCAGAGGGCAGGAGCTCATGATTTTATTTTACAGTGTTTTAATTAGCCTGTTATTAATATGCGTGACTGAGTTTTGATTAATCTTAATTAGTATATTTGCATAGTTTTTGGATTGCTTCGATTTATTCCAAACGCCCTGGTACGGCGGAGAGTGGGGAGAGTCCGCTCTCCCTCTCGAAATGCTCTCACATGACCACGCATATATAGCCCCTGCCAGGGAATTCCTACTCACTGCCTTATCGTGGCGGGGGTGTTGTTTACGAAAATGAGAGGACGAAAAGCGAACGTCCGGCGCTATAACCGGACCCCAAATCAATGGTGCACATGGGCTCCAGTATCCTGCGGGAACAAATGGCGTATGAACCAATCGTTGGTCACCGGCTACCATGTGACTGCATCTCCTCACGATGCTCCACTGCCTTGTGGGTCAGACGTTCAGGTCAAAGGCTCGGGGTGTGGCCCCCTAAGAAAACGACCTGCTTCGGTTTGGGCACCCGGGCAGTATCACAGCCCTCACACAAATCAATTGAGATTTGTGTGGCGCATATGTATTTGGTGCCTCCCTGTACCTATACTTATGTGTTAAAATAAATAAATAAATAAATTCCATCCATTATGCAAACTCCTACTTTATCGAAAGAGGATTCTTGGTAATTGTTGCTAATAATATAGATTATCAGATAAATGACTTAGTAAAGTTGTGTACTAGATAACATTATTTGTTGATTATATGAAAATTTTATCTCTTCTTTGTTACAAGGAGAATACTTGGTCTATAATTACGTTTTATATAAAGTCAACCAGGTTGATATCCGATATACGATTTAACTTCGAAGTTACTTGAGAGTTTGAAATCTTCGTTTTGAACGTATGTTAAAATAGAATCCACTATTTTTGATACTTTACTGTTGGCTTCTATATCCTTCTCTTCATTTAGATAGGTTGAATTGTGTACTGATACACTGACTAAAATCTTCGGACATTTTAAATATATATATATATATATATATATCGTTATGTCCACAAACCGATCCAAGCTAGGAAACCACTAAAGCAGCACTGAACAGTCATCTAGTCATAGTATTAGACTCTTCAGTGGTACACATCCATAACCCTACAGTCTCATGAACAAACACTTAACCTTTAGACCACTGTGCCAGGATCCATATGTATACAAGTCTAATTTCAATCAATCCGCGATATTTCTCGGTAATCTATCGCTTTCTTTTGTGGGTACCCTCCCCATATCCAACACAGTTTAGCTTCACTGGCCACAGCGTTATACAAAAACTCCTGAAATTCCCTATAAATATTTGAACTGACGCGCTGACTCCTTTAATTTGAGAAGAAATTCTACTTTGCTTTTATTCCAAGTTAAAACCACGTAATTGACTGGCTTATTAATTTTTACAATTTTTATTCACAGTTTATGCTATCAACATAAGACAACATTGATACTGATCATAACATAAACAGTAAAGTTATGATCTTTGATTTATTACGTCTAAGCAAAAATTATATGCTGGTTTTACAATTTTTACAAAATGCATAGGTTCTAAAGCCCGAGTACCTAATTATGAGGTATACACTATCTTCAGTTTTCAGAATTTATTCGGAGTTACCAAATTGTGAAATCAACGCAGAAGTAACACAAACATAGACCAGCTCAAATCTTTGAGCCTCTGTTTTAGATTTGTTAGAACTGAGTAGTTATGGTCCTTAACTGTACATACTTATCAGCAATTATGAAAGGTTTCTAACATATTGAACTGCCGAATACTGAAAAACTCAAACTTAAACACTTTATTTGTTGGTATATTAGCCTCTTTGAGAAAAACAAGAGACGAATATATTCAAGTTCATTCATTTACTATCACTTAAAGTATTGGTAAATTTTCCCTATCAGAAATGAGTGACCGATCCTGATAATGCAAAAGTTATCTATATAATCTATTTTTGAATAATTGGAAACCGAGTACATGTTACAGAGAGAATTACTGCAATACTAAACAAGTGACGCTGTGAATCCTTTTCATTACCAAAATTTGTAGTAATGAACAAAGTTATTATTAATATTATTTTAAACATCAGTTTATCCCTCGTCTACAGATACTAATTTCTTTTCTATATTTTTGTATATATAATTCATAAAACACAAAATTGTAAACAAGAAACTGGACTATTAATTGCCAATGCTAGAATAGTTGATCATCCAATAATATATGTCAATGAAAGTTTTACTAAAATGACAAATTATACAAGTCGTGAAATGATGCATCAAAATGCTATATGTCGTCAATTACATGGTAAAAGAACATCAATTAATTCAATAGAAAGATTAAAAAATGCATTAGATGAAGGTTATTTTGATCAAGTTGAAATTACTTTATATAAAAAGAATCGTGAGTTAGTTTATTATGAATATTGTTATCTACTTAATTATTAATTTATTATTACATTACATTGATTTGATAATTTAACAGTTAGATTCTTTTTATTCGTAAATATTTAAAACATAAAGAATACCATTTAGAAAATATTTTACAACAGTATACTGGATAATGATAAAGTGTACACTCCTTCAGTGTTTACAATATTATATCTATGAAGATGCTAACTTAAACAACGATGTGAAATTTAACATAAATATTGTTATCATTATGGGGTTGTGGAGATCATTAAGTTTTTCGATTGAGATCATGAATCGATTGATATTAGACCTGGAAGTACTGGACAGCAGTTCCGTCCTAGTATGGGATTCCTCAGCTAAGAGAGATGAAAGGTCATGGGTTCAGATCCCGGAAGTGGGAACGTGGATGTGCACTGCTGAAGAGCTTCATACTAGAACAAAACAACCATCCAATGCTTCCAGGTTTTCAATGGTGGTCTACCATCAATCGATTCATGATCTCAATCAAAAGAAATAATCATTTTTATTTCGATGAGCTTTCCTTTGAAATATCATGATGTGTAACAAGTATATACCAATAGTAACTAAAATTGAAATGATAATAAATTACAAATTAATAAATTGATTCTTTAAAAAATATAATATTTTCACATTACTGATATTCAAACCTTAGTTGACAAAATAACTTGTAAACCGAATGTCAGAACATTATCTTCATTGATGAATGTACAAATTAACACTAAAATGAACATTTATCTAGCTGACATGTTTTAAATGGAAGTTAAAGTCTATCCTAGATTATTGTACTAGATTCTATTCAAAGTATGTTGTAGTATATAATTGAGATTAACCAATATAGCCATTAATATTCTTAGAATGATCATTGATAAAAAGAGCAGATTTATATGCATCAATCAATTTTTATTTTCATTTATTAAACTCTAATTTTTTTTAGCAATTTAAAGAGGTTGTGAAATCCAGTTTCATAGTTTTATAAAGTAATGAAAACTTCAGTGTTTTCTAACTTTCCAAAAGGAATTAGATATCTTGTTATTTAATTATGATGATTGATATCGCTCAGTATGAAACATTGATATACAACGCTCTTAAAAAATGTTTCTGATATGAAATTATATTTTTTGTTCTTTGAAATAGAATGGGGTGATGATGAGAGGTTAACCATCCTTTCAAACTGTGATTTTTACCCTGATAACTTTGATCAAAATGATAATTTATGGTACCATGGAGTTATCTACCATTCAATCGTAAAAGGGGTACAGTTTTGTATGCATTACTTTGGGTCACATTCTTAGTCTTAAGGTAAATGACTTCAATGTACGGTGTTGAGTATTCGTTTATTAACGAATATGTAACCTACGATAACAATATCACATACTTTGTATAGTAAAAAATAACACTGACCATCTGATACTATTTGATTAGTCATTGTATGGTTTTGTTTTCTGATAGCTATACAATGAGAATTCACATCTCACTATTATGAGACTTCATTCTTTTTAGAAAATCTATTGATCAGTTGAGGTATCAAGATGATCATCATTAAAACAAATAGATTGAAGTTGCACACAACACTGTCAAATGAAAAAAAGAAAAAATTGGAATTAATGTTAGGTGCAAGTTGAAATTATAAGAACTATAATTAAAGAAATTCTTTCTATATTCCCTGTTTACTTTTGCAATTCGGATTTTTTCATTATATTATTAAATATAATGTGAGAAAGGGGTTTTTGTGGATATTATAGTAATTTAATTGTTAAATTCATGAATCAGTTACAGCTAGACCACCATGGAAAACCTGGAAACACTGGACGGCTGTTTCATCCTAGTATGAGACTCCTCAGCAGTGCGTATCCACAATCCCGCCTCGCGAGATCTATCGGTCCTGTGACAAAGATTTCACCTATCATGCTACAGAACAAATGTATCATACCGATGAATGCAGAAACCTTTGAAGTATGTCACTCAATGTAATAGATGTTTTAGTGCTTATAGAGAAACAGCAATTCATGAGAGAATGGAAAAAAACTGCTCGCCATCAGTGTATTAATTATTGTCTAAATAGTTCAATAATAATATTAGTACCTTGAAGATTCTTTCAATGTATTCATTAGTATAACATTCACGTTTCATTATCAATGATATTCAGTTACACGCAAATTTTCATATTACTAATTTCCTTTGAAAAAATAGCTATTTCTAGTGTTAATTATCGTGATATTTTACAAAATAAGGCGTGTGTTAATGTATTTGACAATGTTATATGTTTAAAATGATAAACATTTGCATCTGTTACGACACAAAATTGTGTTATTTCTAAGTTGGAAAGATGATTTAATAAAGACCAGAATAATTTGTAGTACTGTCAAGATACAATCAGTATAATAGTAATATAACAAAAGTAAAAATAGTCGTATGGGCAAAATGCATAATAGGAGGATTTCATCTTGTTAGTCGAGATAATAATAATAATATCAGAATGGGTTTTGTGGAGATGTTAGTAATTTCAATAGTTGAAATCATGAGATATCAGCTCACTGAAGACAATGGTGGACGGTGGCTCAATTTCGTGGATTGGTTGAAGTTAGACATTAACACCATTAGATGCCGGCAAGCTCAGTGGTCTGATGGTTAAGCGCTCATACGCGAGACTGATGGGTCCTGGGTTTGAATCTTGCGGGTGGCAGGATCGTGGGTGAGCACTGCTAAGAAGTTCCATACTATGACGAAACGTTCGTCCACTGTTTCCAGGTTTTCCATGGTAGTCTAGTTCCAATTGACTCATGATTGCAATGATAATATCGTTGTGTTGATTATCTATAACTCTATTGTTTCTCCATTCTTACTTATATGGAAATACTTTTCATGGATCATATGAACATTGATCAAACTGACAGTTTAAAAAAAATTAAGTTCAAATTATATAGATGACATTAAATATTAAAAAAATTATAATTAAAAAAACTGTTTACCCCTCATCTCTTTAAAATTTCAAACGTAAACCTTATATGTGTTTACCAATTTATTATTATTATATCTTTAATTCTATTCAAAATTTCTTCTTATATTAATAGATTATTTTTTTCCTCTGGAACTTTAATGTCCTCACCATTGATTATCATTGTTCCATACTTTCCCATAATTTCGTTTCAAATTTCAGTTGATTTATGGTTATATTTATTGATTAGCTGTTATTTTATGATGATTATGAAAATCGTTAAATTTGAATGGATATTCATAAATAGATATGGTTGTGAGCCAACAGGAATGTATTCCCCATTTTATATCCAATCAGGGTATATAATTTACGTGAAACCCAAACTAAAATATTATTATAGAATTTTGATTGAGATCATGAATCGATGAATGTTCAACCATCATTGAAAATTCTGGAAGTACTGGATGACCGAAAGTCCTGGGTTCGAATTCTGTGTGCGGGATCCCGACGTACGCTGCTGAGGAGCCCCATACTAGGACGAAACTAATCTTATTCTAGATATCAAATTATAATTATTGCTATTATTAGTGTTGTTTTCTCTTGATGAACTTGAGTAGAAAAAATATTTCTGAAATATTAAAGATTTTCTATTCATTTACTTGTTTTATTCTCAAATTAATCTTGTCATTAAAATGCTAATTTATTTATTTCAATTTAAGCATAGATCGTTTATAGTCAAGTAAACTTTAAATAATAATAACAATAATAATAATAATAAATCCCTTTACGATAAAATGTTTTAGTCAAATGCTTTTTCTGTCTACATGTAGCGAATGATCATTTTTATTTGGCATCTCCGATACATAATCTAAGTGTTGGAAGTAAACATAAAAGGATTAACGCTTCAAGTAAACATACTACAACCCTAGAATATTGTAATATTAATGCGTATTAAATACTGAATTTCCGGTTGAGTAGTGTTTACTCAATAAACATCAATTTATGACTTTCGATATATTCAAATTACCATCACATTGTTAGCATTATGGGGAAAAATCAATATTATTATTTTGGTCAATACGTCATTTTAAAAACTCTTCTGTACAAATATAGTCAAGTCCCCACAGGTTATCAGGTTTGAGAAGTTAATGGATATCACTGACTAAGAGATTATATTCATATATTGAGTGATACAAATACTAAACATGGAAGCATCTGTGATTGTGTTAGATTATAAATTGAGTGAATTTCAATTCATTGAATGAATAGTATGAGCTTTGAACTGTGATTTATACGGTTTGCAATTGAGTAATAGGCTTTAAATATTAAACAGTACCAAGTTAGGATGAGAAAGCTATGCAATGCTTCTTGGGCTCAGATGTTTTTCTGCATGATATCAGCTCTCAATGAAAACTAACTTCATGATAAGTGATTGCTACAAACCCCTAAACCAAATATTATTTAATTAATAAATCTCAGTAATCTATACACATTAGTGGATTTGTAAAAACATCGAATTCAAAGAATTTCAGTTCTACACATTAATCGTACTAGATTAATTCCTTCTTAAATTTGAAAACCATATAAATGGTTTAAAAAACGTTTAACATGATGCTGAAATCGATCACTGAAATGGAGACGGAGTGAGTGAGTTAAGAAATCTTAATTGTCAGAGTGTTTGGGACGTTACATGTATATTGTGAGTATGTAGGGACTGGTACTATGCCGAGCCCACATAAGTTATTCCAGCCTCTGGATAGACCAATCTATCTATTCATTCTTCTCAAACCACATTTTTACCGTCACGTATTCGTTTATCAACTTTGACTGTTTTTATGTGAGCATACATGTGTGCATTCCTTATCTTACTCATCACATGTCTGTAACTTATTTCTGTGTGACTATAGATATCGATTCACGCTTGGTTAAATTGAGTTGGCTCTCTCCCTTTATCCATTGCGTATTGTTTAGTTTTACTTCGCCTTAGGATCGACGATTGGTCGAAATACACGTATTCGAAATTCAGTCCCCTACTTGACGTATTCCGTTATTCACTACCGCGATTTAAAACGATAATTTTATGCGAGGATTGACAATATGTATGTTTCAATAACAATTAGTCATGAGAACCAAATGGAGTCAGATCTTGGGCCACTGAAAGTTTCATATTTCAGAGTTAAAAGAACACGCACTGCCGAAGTCGAGAATAAAAGTTCAACATGTTTTTAACAATGTAACTCTCTGTCGTCTATTTGAGGATGGATTCTATGTTGACAGTTCAAAATCCTTCTAAGTAAAGAATAAATGAATTACTTTTAATTTATTGCGCCTTTCCAAAACCATTGACATAAAATGGTTAAATCATATTAGCAAATCCAAAAAAGATGCTGCTGTTAGTTTTACCCTCCCATGGTAGCATTAGTTTCCAAAACTTAGTGACGTAACATCTAATTTCCTGCTCTTGATTATGAATTCGCTTTATTCATTGTTGGATCGCATATAAGCTTTACTCCTTATATTTAGCTATTCAATCCATTTTTTCACTATATATATATGTTCGTGGGTCTTGAGGTTTTTCTCCCAGAACATTGGGACTAGTCAAAATATGAACTTATGCATATATATTACTTACTTACTTACTTACGCCTGTTGCTGCTAATGGAGCATAGGCCGCCGACCAGGATTCTACAACCCACTCTGTTCTGATCCTTCTTTTTTGGTTCCATCCAATTCTTGTTCATTTTTCTCATGTCTATCTCCATTTCCCGGTGTAATGCGTTCTTTGGTATTCCTCTGTTTCATTGGCCTTCAGGATTCCATGTGAGGGCTTGTCTTGTGATGCAGTTCGGTGCTTTCCTCAATGTGTGTCCTATCCACTTCCAGCGCTTCTTCCTGATTTCTTCCTCCACTGGGATCTGATTTGTTCTCTCCCACAGTAGGTTGTTGCTTATAGTGTCCGGCCAGCGGATCTGAAGTATTTTGCGTAGACAACTGTTAATAAACACCTGTATCTTTTGGACGAGGGATTTTGTAGTTTTCCAGGTTTCCGCCCCATACAGTAGAACTGTCTTCACATTTGTATTGAAAATTCTGACTTTGGTGTTGGTTGCCAATGGTTTTGAGTTCCAGATATTCTTCAGTTGTAAATATGCTGCTCTTGCTTTGCCGATCTGTGCCTTCACATCTGCATCAGATCCACCGTGTTCATCGATGATACTGCTCAAATATGTAAAGGTTTTTACATCTTCCAAATCTTCTCCGTCAATTGTGATTGGATTGGTGCTTGCTGTGTTGTACTGGAGAATCTTGCTTTTCCCTTTGTGTATATTGAGACCTATTGCTGCTGAGGCTGCTGCTACAGTGGTTGTCTTCTTTTGCATTTGTTGTTGTGTTTGATATATATACCGTGTGAACGCTTCTTATGATCTTCTCAAACTTACTGGTCTTTTTTGCATTCTTTACTGATGAAAACTCTGTGCATCCGTCTGTAGATCATTATCGCTCTTATTTCTAGAATGTAAGCAAATCATCGACAAAATAAACGCAACATTCATAGTGACCTAAGACTGTTAATTTTTTTTAGAAAAAAAAATTGATTAGGTTTATCAATAAGTTATTAGACTATAAATCTTGAATATTCTAGTCTTTTGTACATTATAATGATTTTTTTCACATAACATACCCACTCCCAACTCTACATTTTACTAGGTAATTATTAATTAGTTCTTTGCATACTTCAGGTTCAATGATTTGGGTTATTATGTGTGTGGCTCCAGTTGAAAATGATAAACATGAAATACCTCTATATCTTATTTTATTTTATGATATATCACCACTCAGACAACCACTGGACGACGAGACACTTAGTGGAAGTAAGTTTTTGATAATTATTAATTATTTAGAGATTATTTCTATTTCACATAAGATTAGTGATTTGAATTTCTGTGAATCAAAGATACCTCTTTGTATGGAGCGACAGATTCCGGTCAACATATTTATAGGCTATTCGTAAATTAAGATAGCTATCGTTAAAAGATTTTGAGTGAAGTACATTAAGCTCTTCGAGTAAATAACTTAACAGTTAGTAGATATTTGCTTGTTGAGTATTGAATAGTTAAAAAAATATATATTTATAGTTAGAATTCAATGGAACTAGTGACTCAATAATTGGGCTTTTCAATTTTTCTCCTCTACGCTGCAAAAAGATAGAATATTAAAAACTAATTTTGTGCTGATGCTTTTGTAAATTATCACTTTATCATTACGAAGGGTGATAATTAGAAGTGATATCTGAAATTAAAACCTCTTAAGGAATTGATCTCAAAGGGCAGCTAATCTTAGAACACAACCCCCTACCCCAACTGCCTAAGTATTTTTCCCGTATTCTAATGTTTCTAATTTCATAATGAAAGCATAGCTGAGAGCAGATGCCAGGAGATATCTAATGGATTGATTATTAATGATATTTGCTTTTCAGTCATTAATTGTTATGTACATAGTTTTCGAAAGTGGTATTTTAGACTGAAATAAAATATATTTCTTGTGAGATCGTGAAGAACAATGTCAGTCACTGTAGATCGCATTTACAAGAAGTATAATGAACCATTGTACTTTAATCTACAATCTTGCTTGTTGATGTCCGTAAAAAATTTGGAAGTGTAAATATAATCTCGAAAACACTATACATATTCACCTTCAAAATATATCATTATGATAAGTAGACAGAGGTTTCACAAATCAGATAATTTATAAAACATGAACTTTATTTGGCAATTATTATGATACTACGTAGAAATGATATATTCCTGATCATTAATACTATGATAAACTTATTTTTCAAAAGATCTGAAATAGTAGTAATGTAAATGTTTAAGGTAAAACTTTTTAATTAGATACTTCATTTATTTACTGAATTATTTTCACATTCATATAAGTTATATAACTAATTTGAATATAATGAAACTTCAAAATGGAAAACCATAAAAATAATTTTAACTGTGAAAACTTCAATCAGATTTGCCAAAACGTATGAATCTTTATTAAGCTAATTTCAAATAATATTAATATCACTTAATCTTAAAACGTCTTGTTGCTATGCAGAAATTAAGTATGCTGTAAATATATGGCAACATTTTTGTTATTATTACTATTATTAGTATTAGTATTACGTATATATCTTTTTAAAGCTCATCATATACAATTTTTCGAGAAAAAAAACCGATTATTTTTATACTTTACTTTTATTCAAAGGTTTTAGTAAATTTGCCAAGTTGGCACGTTCAGTGGCTCGTAATAAAACTGTGTTATCACAAGTTGAACTAGACGACTCATTGGTTGCTGTAAGTGAATTTTCGTATTTGTATAATAACTGCTGAATTTTAAAGTTATAATTTTAATAAGATATTCTTTTGATTTCAAAGTAAGAAACTATTAGAAATTAATTACATTCAAAACCATATCTTCTTTTATAGAGTAGATTATTGAATAATGCATTTATATGATTGTTTAGTTCTTACTTTTATAGTTTCTTAAAAGTATTGAGTCTAAATTAGATAAATTTCAGAATTCATCTCCTATGATATAACATGCTTCAATGGATACCAAATAAACAAACGATTTCGATAGTGCAATGAGAAGATGAAGTTTATCAGAATTCTGTGATATATTTGCTCAATACATTTAAAAAAATTTGACCCGAGTGTCAAACTTATATCAATGCACGTGGACAACTGCGGACACTCATTTGACTGGAAAAATGTGGGAATCTTGGACAGAGGGAATTCCAAAAACACCAGAGAATTTTTAGAAGCTTGTCACTCAGGTCAATCTCAATAGTTGAGATCATGCGTCAATTGAAGCTAGACCACCATGGGGAATCTGAAAGCCCTGAACGGCCTATTGTGAGACTTCTCAGCAGTGTGCATCCACGACCTCAGCTTGCGGGATTCGAACCCAGAACCTAGCTTCAATTGGCTCATAATCTCAACTATTGAAATTACTGAAATCTCCACAAAACCCCTTCTGATACTCAGATCAATAAGCAATCAACAAACACATTGAAATCGATTCAAGTTATCAGCCAATTAGGAAAATTATGCACAAACATAAGAACAAAAATCAAACCAACAGGAGATACAACCAAAACAAAGGAGTAAACAATGATGGGTTTAAGGTCAACAAAAATCAATCAACATCGAGGTCTACAGGACAAGCTGTGAACCACATGAGGAAAAATTCGAACGCTTCACTTCTATCTGAAATCTGTGCTGATGATGTCGTTCAGAAGAAAGATGAAAGTTCCATGACCAAACCATCCAGCTCAGAGAGCAAAGCTCCATCAAAATCATTCATCTGAGCTACGAATCTTCTCCACTATCTCATTATCTAGTTTAGGTATTCAAAATTCAAAAAAATTTAGACATATTGATGATTTTAAGTGACATTGAAAAATTAAAAAATAGGCAAATGAATGATAAAATCGGTAAAAACTCTCATACAAAAATTATAAGAAATATGTATATTTTACAGATAGTATAAACAGTAACTGCTGAGGAGTCCCACAATAGGACGAAACGACCGTCCAGTGCTTCCAGGTTTTCCATGATGGTTTAGCTTCAACTGACTCATGTTCTTAACCATTGAAATTAATCATTTATGTATGGTTAATAATTAGATTATAATAATATATTATTAATTACTAATGTATTAACGAAATTGTAATGACTTTTATTTTGATGATTAAAAATTAATACTTCACTTCATAATGGATAATGATAGAGTACTGAATAATTTAGTAATTGTCTAAGTAGGTGTTTACATAAATGTATCTTTTTGGCTAAACATAATTGTTATACAAGAGAATATAGATATATTTTGTTCAGATTACAGATCTCATGATCTGAATAATTTTAAACATGATTGAAAAATAAAAATTATCTACTCTTGTTAGGAATTTTTAAGGAGGCTCATATAATTTTCAGATGATACTTATGTCGAAGTTATTAATTTCGAGATTTCGTTGATAACTAAGATGCAATAACAAGTTATTTCATCAAGAGTGAGGCAGTCAACACTTACAACATTAAATGATCGCCGATCTATATCAGAAATTGGTCTAAGTTGAAAATCCAGACTACTGGATTCCAGACAGGTAGTTTAAATGTTAAGCATTCTCCTTAAAACCTAAACGTTTCGAGTATGATTACTGATGGGATTGTGGCTGAGTACTAGTGTGAAATAGCATACTAGGACGAAACGAATTTCCAGTACTCACTGAATCACAACAATACCACAACAGTCAATATGTGATGTATACCCTCAACAAATATTCTATCCACTTGTATATATGATACAATTCAATTAATTTATAAAGCTACTATTTATGTATATTTCGAAATCGTCATTTTTCAGAAATATATGTATAACTCAGTCTTATACCTAGAAATTTTGTCTAATATGTAAGGATAGCATAGACGATGTCTTTACTCTTTAGGATATTTACATTATTAAGTAATTAATGTCTGTCTGAATTCATCAAGAGAGCTTATCTACTAAATTATTCATATTGTAATGTATCAGTATTTATTTGAACTTTTTCCATAATCAGTAAAATGTGTCTAAAGTCTTTGTGAACCTCATGTTCTAACCATTAAATTTTGTCCATGATTTATACGAAGTTATACATCGGAAAACAAAGTGAATTAGTTCAGCTAATAATAATACTTTGTGTGTCATAGCAAACCTTTATTTCATATAAATTGAATAGTAACTGACTGTGAGGAAATATAATTTAAATTAGTAAAACTCAGAATAGAATCATTTACTGTGTTTTGAATAATCGTGTATGTATGATTGGTAATGCAACTACCCAAAAGTGTATCTGAACTTTTGGTCGATAAATTGGAACTCAAATATCTGAACAAATAATTATGAGATGATAACCTTACCAAAAATTCATATTCTGTGCAACTATTTTGAAAAATTCTCAAAACTTAAAGTGCTTTTTACATGGCATTTTAACCAAGATAAAAACAAGTAAGTAGGTGTGAAACTTTCAATCTGTTATCTTTATTTATAATACAACTGTTTACAATTAACCACACAAGTTGTGACAATGTAAATCAAGCATATATAAAAAGGGTATTCGCAATCGTTTTAATTAATCGATTCTTGAAGGCAAGTACGTCACTTACCTGAGCTCCGATAGCTTTTAATCTACTCTAATATATAGTCAAAGATACAATCACAGAGAAAAATTTGCTATCAAAAGATGGATTGATCTAAAATTATACATACATGATTTATTTGCTTCTATCATAATTTTGAACGTTAGGTTATACCAGCAACTTCAAATCCATTTACGTACAAATGGACGTACTCAGAATTTACTGAAGTTCTAATCAACTAGTGAATAATTATGTATCACTTCACTAGACGGTTGATATGATCAGTTTTTAAATACATAGAAGCTTTACTTTTGACCTGCCTTTATATTTAGCTGAGTGTTTCACAACTGGCCTGACTTATTCAGTCCCAAAGAAGAAAGACTGGTTGACCAGTGAAATATGATTTATTTTCTATATGCATCGTTATGATTTTCAAGTAATGTTTACTTTTCTCTATTTATATTTTAAGGTTGCTCCCATTCAAAGTAACAGTATACCGAAATACCGTCAGGAATCACCAAAAACACCTCCACATGTTGTATTGCATTATTTAACATTTAAAACTGCCTGGGATTGGATAATATTTTTATTAACTGGTTATACATGTATTATTATTCCGTATAGTGTTGCATTCGGTCATGATACTTTATCAGAAGAATCAATATACTTTGCTGTTGAACATATAGTTGATATAATATTCTTCATTGATATTGTTTTAAATTTCCATACAACTTTTGTTGGCTCATCTGGTGCAGTTATTTCAGATCCAGTATTGATACGTTTGAATTACTTAAAAGGTTGGTTTATAGTTGATTTAATCTCTTCACTACCATTTGGAATTCTAGCAGTATTCAGTGATCATACAGTGAGTTGAATATAATTTTAATAAATTAGTAATTTGTAGACTATAGATTATTGATAATAAATGTTTAATTGACAAATTATTATTCGTCTTCAGTTATTGTATCAAAATACATCTTGCTTTTGATAAAGTTTTGTTCTTTTAGCTGCAACCAACTCCATCAAAACCATTCACCTGAGCTACAAATCTTCCCCAATATCTCAAAATAGATCTTGCTTTCTCAAGACTTTTGAGACAGCATATATAATCTAAGATACAAATAATTAGAAAAAAAGTAATGAATATGAGTGGGTGAATAATTTACATGTCAATAGAGTTTATACCAAACACAATTTCTTTGTTGTCAGTATTGTTTTGAATAATACTATACGTTATATATGATAAAGTTTTTGATGATCATATTTTATGAAAATTCTGTGTAGTATGATAAGTTGCATTTCCACTTAACACATGTTAAATGAAGCAATGTATTCCATACAGGAGATAGTACAAAGTAAACGATTAGATTTGTAAAATGAAACAGATTTTACAAGCTCATATAAACAATAGTGAAACATGGTTACAGATAACAATTTTTATCCGGATGAAAAAGTATTTTTCTAAGTTCTAAGTCTCAGTTAAACTGAGAGTAAATTTCTTAGACAGACTTCATTTGCATTCAAAATGTTTATTTAATTAACCTGCAAAAGTATAATAACCGATTTTATAATTTTTTTCACACCACGTAGATATTTACATATGATGTTTTCTATTATACGTGAAAATGAATTTCTAACAAACTATTTGTTCATATATTGACGGATATTCGTAAACAAACATTTTAAGTTTCAAATTAGTTGATGAGATTGTGAATTTTCATAAACAGAGGTGGTTGGGCCACGTGTTATGTATGCCTGAACACTGATTATCACGACGTGCAATGTTAAATAGTGTTGGAGACGGATGCAAGAAAAGGGTGGATAAACAAAAACGTGGCATCAGTCATTGAAGTTACTAACTTCTGGTCTTGGCCATGTTTGCAGATGCAGACTACTTGGTTAAGTTTCGCGTGACTATCGTAACCAATAGCTGGAGACTGTAGCTGACATGGTTCAGAATCGATCACAATGGCTTAGATGTACGCACTCTTTGTCTTCCCTTAAACCGTGAGATTAAGACTGCATATAAGTGAAAAACCTACACGGATTGACAACCATGTGACAACCAACACCAAACTTATCTTGTTCTTAGTCCTAATCAAATTTTATCAATAAGGATGGTATTCAGCGACAGCAGATACACCAAGTTGTATGATGTCTACACCAACAGTTTCCAGTCGACTACTCATAATATTCTAATATAAACTAAAGTAGATCATCGATTTCAATTAATCATTACATTTAAAATAACCATCTTCTTTTAACTAAGCAGTATTCTTCTTTTAGCATAAACTGGACAGTGTGTACTTTTTTATATTAGGAAAATGTCTAATAAATATTAATGACTAACTACGAACACATCTTCTACGTTTTTTATCTTCTGTTTTTCTTTCCCTGTAACTCACAGACATTAGTCAATTTGTCTAGTATATTAAAACTGGCACGTTTATTACGATTATGTCGAGTATTGAGAAAATTAGACCAATATTTGGAATATGTGGCATCAATTTTATTAATTATGCTATTTTGTTTTATACTATTAGCTCATTGGTTAGCCTGTGTCTGGTATTTAATTGGAATGCATGATTTAAAAGATAAAATTTATCATGGTTGGATAATACATTTAATGAATGAAACAACTGGTCCAAAAAATTGGTCTAATACATCATTAGAAGAATATTTACCATCACAATCTATGCTATACATGACATCATTTTATTTTACTTTATCTGTGATAACTAGTATAGGATTTGGAAATGTTGCAGCGAATACAATATCAGAAAAAGTTGTTTCTATTATTTTTATGCTAATTGGAGGTAAGTGATAAATATTTTAAATACTCTTTAATTTAAATTGTAAGTATGATCATTTGAAAACAAAAACAATGATTAAATCAAATGGCAATTATGAATATTGGTTGAGATCTTCAACCGATTGATGTTAGACCACCGTTGAAGGCCTAGAAGGATTAAACGGCCATTTCGTCCTATTGTGGGACTCCCCATCAGTGTGCATCCGTGACTCGCTCGCGGGATTCGAACCCAAAGCCTTCAGTCTCGCGCGCAAACTCTTGACCTACTTGACCATGGAGCCGACATCCAACGGTGTTAATGTCTAGCCTCAACCAATCCACGAAATTGCGCTGTCATCTTCCATTGTCTGAGGTAGATACCTGTCTCTACCCGACACGCAATAACTCCACTGGTCAGGACTTCTCACTAGAACTCCGAGAATCACTAAAGAGCACATTGTAATTATCAGTATAGGGTTTTGAAGATTATTAAGTTATTTACTGAGATGCCGGCTCAGTGGTCAAGTAGGTTAAGAGTTCGCGCGCGAGACTGAAGGTCTTGGGTTCGAATCCCGCGAGCGGGGTCACGGATGCACACTGCTGTGGAGTCCCACAGTAGGACGAAACGGCCGTTTAATGCTTCTAGGTCTTCAACGGTGGTCTAACATCAATCGGTTCAAGGTCTCACTCAATAACTTAATAATCTCCACAACCCTATACTGATAATTATGAATATCACAGAATAAAGCGAAGCTTAGTAAACAAATTTAAATTTTATGAATAGATGCCAAAACCTAAAAAATTACAATTTCTATTATCATTAACGTTTTAAATCAGATTTACTCAGGTTTATTTCGTGCTAAATATTGTATACCTGCTATTTCATTACACAACTGATTTTTATTGTTGATCAGTTGTCTTGTATTTTGATATCCATTTATTGATGATTGCGTTAGTAATTCTATTTTTGTGAACGATTGTCATAAGTCACAATTTTCATACCAATCTGCACAACTGATCTCATCTTCCTCAGATAGAACAAGTTGGATAGTGATAAATTATACTTTTTAAAATTTTGTTGGTGGTTGACATTGACTGAATACGAAAAATAGGATAACTATTAAATCAAGCAATTCAACTATAAATAGTGAGTGAATTTTCCTGTTGATTTTAATTTATCAATCTCTATTGACTTATGTACACACAAAGTGTATTGCTTCGATATTGCTCTAAGCTATAGATTTTTAGTATATATCCATACACATTGAACACGCTATTTACTCTATGGACTCAGTAGATTAGTAGGTGAAGCACTAGTGTTTACAGCGAAAGGTACTGAGTTCTCCTCTTAGTTGATGAACCCCAAAATGGACGAAAAGATCACCTTGGATCTCACTGTGAGTCACAATAAAAATATACTATAAGTAATTTATTATTTTGATTTATATCGTCTACTGTTGAATGTGAAAAATATGGAGCCACACTAATTGCTTTGTGAACTTCATTATCACTATTGATTAATTACAAGTATTCGCATAACTAACTTAATCATATTATGGTCACGCCTTCATGTTTGAATAATATCTGTATAATTCATAATTTCAATGTCGTAATAAGTATTCATTTATTTAGTTAATGAATGCATGTTCTTAGAGGTGTTCAATTGTAAGTGAATAATCAGTTTAGTGAGCATATATTTAGTCTGGTCAGTAGTTTTATTGCCTATTTGTGCTTTCACAGTAGTAAAAAGTCCTAATAACCTTAGGTCTATTATATTTGGATCTAATTTGAACCACACCATTAGAATTTTTACACACCTTAATTAAAGAACTTTATTTTATAATAATCTATCAAACATTTGTAAGAGTATCTGTAAACTGACTTAAGCACTCATTAAGCTATGTCATAAAAAGGGGAAAGAAACATAGCATTTGATCACAAATAACGAGTATAATCTACTATTAATGACCAATTGAAGTCCAGGAAACAAATATAATTTGTCGGTCACTAAAGTACCTTCTACATAAATGGTTGGTTTGACAACAAATTTAAATATTGACGAATTTCCCTAAGAATAATATTTTTCCTTCAAAAATTCTATCAGTTATCTAATACTTACTTACTTACGCCTGTTACTCCTTGTGAAGAAGCATAGGCCACTCACCAGCATTCTCCATCCAACTCTGTCCTGGGCAATCCTTTCCAGCTTTTTCCAGTTCTTATTCATCCTTTTCATATCCGCTTCTATTTCCCGACATAATGTGTTCTTTGGCCTTCCTCTTTTCCGAATCCCTTCAGGATTCCAGGATAGGGCTTGTTTCGTGATGCAGTTTGATGATTTGCATAATGTATGCCTTATCCATTTCCATCGTCTTTTCCTAATTTACTCTTCAGTTGGAAGCTTGTTGGTTCTCTCCCACAGAAGGCTGTTGGTATCCGACCAATGGATGTTGAGTATCTTGCGTATACAGCTATTTATAAGTACTTGTACCCTCTTGATGGTGGTTGTTGTGGTTCTCCAAATTTCAGCTTCGTGCACTAGAGCTGCCTTGACGTTCGTATTGAAGATTCTGACTTTGATATTGGTTGAAAGTTGTTTTGAGTTCCATATATTCTTCAATGCGGTCTCTGCTTTGCCAATCCTCTCCTTAACATCTGCATCCCATCCTCCTTGTTCATCGATGATGCTTCCCATTTATGTGAAGGATTCTACATCTCCCAGAGTTTCGCCACCAATTGTGATTGGATTGCTGTTCTCCGTGTTGTATTTGGGGACCTTGGTTTTCCCCTTGTTTATGTTGAGGCCTACTGATGCAGAGACTGCTGCTACACTGGTTGTCTTTATCTGCATTTGTTCGTGTTATGCTATAGGAGGGCTAGGTCATATGCGAAGTCTAAATCGTCTAATTGGTTCTGAGCTGTCCATTGTATATCTAATACTTAGTAAACAAGAATCATTTTAGATTAAACTAACTTGTGTTGAAAACTAAACTGAATCACGTTCTTAAGAACAAAAGGAAATTTATCTAAATTAGATTCAGACAGTTATGATACAAAAGTAAGAACTAAGTAAATAATATTGAAGAATTTATGTAAGAATAATCAATACTGGCAAAATTTATTATTTTAATTTTGTCGAAATACATAATCTGTAACGTACGGAAAGTTATAATAAGCTTGCATTCATATTAGCTAAAGTAGAAAAGGCAACGGTGAAAGATTTCCAACTGAATCTATTAATATAATCAGCTGAATGGTTTACCGTATTACTTACAAAATCTTGTAAATAGAAATACTTCTTCTTAAAGAGTTATTTCAAACTAACTACTCATGAGTAAATGGTACATCAGTAAATTCAATTATATATATGTACGGTTTTAGATTGCAAAATTTATTTGTAACAAATGACAATCATATAAACTTCATTTCTGCATTCAAAAGAACACTGTGTATTTACTTCCTATCAAAGATAATATTTTAATAAATTTCCTTGTACTGAGATTAAATTTTTATCTATTTTGTAATTAGTTAGAGAAAAATCAGTGTGAGAACAACTCAAGTCATGAACTTTATTAAACTGAGAACTATGAAAAACTAGGATGAGTCGTATAGCTGTTTCTCACAAATCCTTAAACATAAACACCATAGATTCTATTTAAAATCGAACTTTGAACCTAAAAATCTTTTATAAAATTGGCGATTAAGTAATCTACTGAGCAAACACCTAATTTTCTATACTTTTTCATAACATGTTAAATAGAAATCTGATTGATTAAAATTTTCAACTGAATATAGTGAAGAATGAACAGGATGTTGTATTTCATCAGATCAATTATTTAGGGTCAATGCTTTATTCAAACAAAACTAGTCATTACATAGTCCCACCTTTCTAAATATCATATAAATAAGTATTGATCACATAATTGACTATGTTTATTTTATATTATAAAAGTTAAAATCCACTCATCTATACTATAAATATGCAACAGAGATGATTATCTAATGAGGACAATAATGAGACATAAGAATAAACATTAATTTTTAAGTTATACATATTATGGTTATTTACATTTGAATAGAAAACGAACTCGTCATACAGCTTGTTTATTGCCTAATCATTAATCAAATAGGCGTTTCTTATTAATATGAATATAATTTAAGTATACTCTTATACAAGTAAATAATTAAGTTGTTGTTATTGTTGCTTTCAAAAAAATGAAATGGATACTCTTGTTTCTTAATTTGAACAATTTTAAATATTTTGTTGTCACAATAAAATTAATGTAAATGATATTTTAGTTTTCAGAAGGGGTTTTGTGGAGATTTTAGTAATTTCAATAGTTGAAATCATGAGTCCATTGAAGCTAAACCACCATGGAAAACCTAAAAGCACTGGAGGGCCATTTCGTCCCATTGTGGGACTCCTCAGCAGTGCGCATCCACGATCCCACCCCCACGAGACTCGAACCCATGACCTATCAGTATCGCGTGTGAGCGCTTAACCATTAAACCACTGAGCTGGCCGGCATCCAACGGCATTAATGTCTAACTTCAACCAATCCACGAAATCGCGTCACCATCCACCATTGTCTTCAGTGAGCTGATATCTCACAATGGACTTGGTTGAACTCCACCGGTCACGGCTTCTCACCAGAACTCTAGGAATGTCTCTTGAATTCAGTCACTAGTGGGCAGACTGTTATATCCTAGTGAAGATTAAAATACGAGTAACTCCCGAGGACTATTAATGAACTAATATTATTTATATATTCTCATGGTATAAATATTCAGTAACTAGATAATGCATATCTATATTCCCCTTGTTATAAGCTTTGTTTTGACCTAGAATTTATTATTGTACGATTTACTGTTCTTAAGCTATGTTCAGTTTACTGACTACTGCTTCCCACGTTCTTAGACGCTTTTTGGCTTTATTAAGTACAAATGTTATCCCCTATTTTATGGAAAACCTGGAAGCACTGGACGGCTCACTGGTCTAATGGTTAATCGCTCGCGCGCGAGATTGTTAGGTCCTGGGTTTGAACCTCGAGGGGGGCGAGATCGTGGATGCGCAGTGCTGAGGAGTCCCATACCATGACAACACGGTTTGTCCAGTGCTTTCAGGTTTTCCATGGTGGTCTAGCTTCAATGGACTCATGATTTCAACTATCGAAATGTTTTAGTTGTTAAGTATAAATTCTATTTTGTTAATATTGAAATTCTTAGATTATTATTTTTATGTTATTGTTTGTAGAAATTAATTAGTCTATTCATAAACATAACTCCCTTTATCGTTTTGGAAAGAGTAAGAATATAGATTCTGGCAGAATAATATGAATTCATTTTATTTCGTAGGTTCTCATCAGCTGCTTACAATTTGTGTTATTTACAAATCCTAATTACATAATGGGTTTAAATTATTTACATGAAAGGGTTTGGTTGGAAGTTATATTGAGGACAAATTGAATAGACTGAATATTGTAAACATATACCTTATGTAAAAGAACATTCTACAACATTGATTGTGACAACTGTTCAAGTGGCTAGAAACAAGTGATTATATAATGAGTAAACATTGATAGAAATAAAATGAGTAGAACTCAGTTGATAAAATAAAATTATCAATTTGTAAGATAATTGAAATAAAACTCAGTGATGTAATAAATGCAAGGAAGAGTTTAACGAAAAAGAAAAAATTATAAGATGCAGCAATGAATATTTGTCAGCAAGGCAAGGAATGATTAATAACTATCTCCTTTTGAACACATAAATCAGATTTTTAACGTCTGATAGCAACGGCTTCAGTAGGCTTCAAAAGACTGGAGTTTGTCTGCTTACTAATCACCTTGAAGGATTGCATGGTATCGACCTGATGTCCTGTATCAATTCATGTTATAGAGATCGGTAAAGTATTGCGGACTATTTACCAACTACTCTTGATCAATTCATATCACTACAGTTTGAAAAATATCACGATTAGTATCGTAGAGCTTGCCATAAATAGCCGGATTCAAAAAGATTCATTATTACCAGCTATGAAATTAAATCTCATTAGTGTGCATAATTAAAATTATTTCTGTTCGGCCATCAATTCCACATCAGTCTTAGATGCAAATGAGAGATTTTAAAGAACTAATCACTTTTTACTAAGAACTAAATGTTGAACTTGAATAAAACAAGTGTAGGCTGTGAACTTAGTTAGGTGATAATGATTGAAGCAAATTTTCCGAAGGAACCTTGACTCTCTAGTGCAATGATTCATAATGTATTAATAATTATCTAAGAATGAAGAAAAAGACTAGATAGTCACTGACCTCATAAATCATAGTTTCACACTAGAACTTCTGCGAAATTCATCTCAAGATTAATAATTTTATTATTGAGTCAAGTGATTTAAGAAAAAAATCATTCATTTTGAAAACTTTTCATTATGGGCCCTTATTAGTTGAACAACTATTCCAAATTAAAGGAAGATGAACAGTTGATAAACTCTAGTTTGTAGCTCCTAAACAATGAATACACAGAATCTCATACAAAATCAAATCCCACGATAGTCATTTGGATATATACTTCAAAGGAAAAAATTTACTGATGACTACTGATTTTTGGGAAATAGAAGTGATGTCATATATTACTTGTCCAATGAATAAATTTTGACAAGTTATACCCTGACAAATAAAATGCATACCCGTCTCACTGCACGATGGCTACCTAGACTTAGTAGCTCAGCGGATAACGCTTTAGGCGTCTGAAGTAAAAAGTAATTAGTTTAAAGTGTCCATGTGAACATCAACCTAGATCTAGTCAACTCCATTTGGCAAGTCCCAAACAACACGAAACGCGAGTCTCTGGTCGCACCGGAACCCACATCTAATTTTACATGATAATGGTAATACAGTTTAGACAGGAGTATCACGAACAATTTCGTTCAGAATACAAAATATTGCGGTGATTTACAACTTTACTGTATTTTATCATAATTCAGTCATTTATCTATAATCTGTTTTACTCATTATTACAAACTACATTTTATAATTTACTCTCATTTTGTACTTACAATTAGTATACCAAAAATTGTTGACCACACTCATTATCTCATATGAATACGATTATACAGCTACTGAAAATGAAATCGTCCGGAAAACTCATTGTTTGAATATTATTTTTTTAATTTATAAGTGCAGATTGTGAATTTTTATTTATAATCCGAAATTTTTTAATTCTCATATAACTGATTTTTTCCTGAGTATTATTTCTGTTACACATTGGACTCTATTTATGGTACGTACACATAATCCATAGGTTATGTGACAAATACTAAAATCAGAAAACTAAACTTAAAGTATTAAGGATTTATAGGAAATTCTCCTAAAATGACCCCTCATAAAGTGTACAATGAAAGTCAATATCATTTGTTTTAAATGGGATAGGTGTTTAGTAAATTTAACAAATAATAATATGAACCTAAGGCCTGTTGATACGATTAGATATTTTGTGGTTAGTTGCGTTGGAATTCATGTATAGGCTAATCTATTAAGAAATTAAATATTACAACTGGTTAATCTATAATTAAGTATAACTTATTGTTGAATATTCAAATTCACTTGTACTACCTACTGTATAATATTTGCTTCATTATGTAGCCAATGATAGTAACATCGTTTTGTTCATTTTTAAATGTTTTCTTTTTTAAATTTTATTTACCGTAATATTGAATAGCACTTGTTTATGCTACAATATTTGGTAATGTGGCGACTATTTTACAACAAACACATGCAACTCGTGCAAGACTTAGACAATTAATGTCTAGTGTGAAAGATTTTTTACGAATTCATGAAGTACCAAAAGAATTAGCTGAACGTGTCATTGATTACGTAACATCGAGTTGGTCTATTACGAAAGGTGTAGATACACAAACAGTAAGTAACTTGAAGTATATGTTGAATTTTTTTTTCTATTTTAAAAACAATTTGATGTAAAGGATTTTGGTGGAGAATGTGTTCACTAGTTTCTAATATTTCAAGCTGTTGATATGTAAAGTAAAAATTTCTATAGGTTATCCTAATGTTTAACCAATCGACGCAAATCATTTATGCTTCCTTTCATTGTAATTTTAGAAATTTTAGTCGTGTATTTTTGTGGAATCATGTTTCTTTACAGTTACACATCATGTTGCAATCGTGTGATATTCATGGGGTTCAGTGAGATGTAGGACAGTCAGTAGAGCGAACAGTTTTTTTTAGTAATTCATTTCTTTTCAGTGGAATTTATTTGTTCGGTTCAATCAACCAGTTCACGATATCGAATTAGGAAAGAATTTCATACAAATCAAAATATGGGTTTCAGACTATTGTAATTGGATAAATGTATCCTCAAAGATAGATTTATGAGTAAAACAAAACTTGCTTAGCAATAATTACCCTATGGATGTATAACTTTTTGAATTTTTTGACATTATTATTATTATTAGTTATTAATGGCTTTATTCAATATTATATTTTGATACAATACAGAATTCTCAGCACAAGGTATTTCAAAAAGATTCTTTTGCAAAAAAAAACACAAAAAAAGAAAGGAAAAAGGGTAAAAAAAAATCCAAAAAACTGTACAACTTTCCAAATTAGAGACATGTTAAGAATGCGAGTTATTGACTAGGTTAACCCTAACAACGTCTTCGTCACAGAGTATACTTGATAGGTAAGGTATTATAGAACTTTTATACTTTTGCTTGAGTGCATGGATTTTAATGTAATTACGTCTCGTTCTACCAGAAGATATACAAGGAGAAAGATATGAGTGAAGGGAACGGTTAGTATCTGATAAGATAACACCTTCCAGGAGTTTGCATAACTTTAAATGTCTATACACAACCATATTAATTATGACCTCAAAAGATTCACCCCACACCTTACTAACTGCCTTCAGTACTCTGAGCAATACAGAGTTATCATAGTTCATTATATTTTCCTAACATTTATGATATCTCAATACATAGCCTAAATGTCTATAATCAGTAATGAAGAATGGTAGTCATATTATTATAGATATATTTCACAAATATATTTCAGAGTTCTGTTTATACGATTTCATCTTTTTTTTATTCTACAATGCAGCTTATAGTTAGCAATAGTTTTACATCATTTGTTTTAATTTTTAAATAACTAATTATTAGACCGTGATACATTGTTTTTAGGGATAATTTTTAATCCGAAAGTGAATAGCGTTTTTTTTTTTTTTTGAAGAAGAAGAATTATAGTTCATATCTGTACAGAATGTTTACATACTATTGAATTTTTATTCATTAGATTTATGATAATAAACTGTTTTTACCGTTTGTTAATAATTTTATGAAAGACTTTATTGTAGACATTAAAAATGAATATTATTGTATAATCAAATCATTCATTCTATAATATCATAGTGATTAGTTTAGTGAGATATAATCAGTTATAATATAGTTGAGAATAGTTTGTTTTTGTTTTTACACTTCAAAGCAATAAAAACTGAACGGATAATTTTGTTTTAAAGAACTGGAAAAACTGTATCAACTGTCAAATGACATTTAAATTATGAAAATACTGATGCACATCATGAAACATTCACATAAAACTCTTCTATTTTTTTTCCTAACAACAAATAATGTCCTAATTCTGTTTCATTTCTCACGAGCTCACTATAAACCTGTCTATAGGAAACAACAATTGTTGCTGATAATGAAAATATTCATTATTATTATTTTTATTATTACTGTATACCGATTGTACAAAAACAACTTTGATACGCATATCTTATTTCATTTCCAGCCCACTAATTTATATCAAACATTAGGTCATTAAAAATATGATTGACTAGAATTTTTCTATGGAAGTATATATAGATAATAAGTTTGTTTCTGATTAGCTAATCTTTATTTAACTACAATCAAGTAAAAGGTTTAGAAGCTTATTTATTTGCATTTCTATCAAACTTGATTACGTTGTGTGTGTCTTTTTCACTATGAAATAACATTTTAAGAAAGATACATAGAGCTCTGATTGAATTATGATAAACGCTAAGTCTTATTATGAATAACTTATGAATATGGGCATATAATTAATCTTATCTACGAATTTTATGATTGAAAGAAATAGAAAAAAATATTAGTGTTATCTTTTGATTACTTTAGGTATTGAATCACTGTCCAAAAGATATGAAAGCTGATCTATGTGTTCATCTTTATCGTGCTGTATTTAGTGAGCATCCAGCTTTTCGATTAGCCAGTGAAAGTTGTCTTAGAGCTTTAGCTGTTTCATTTACAGTTCAACATAATGCTCCTGGTGATCTAATCTTTCATCAAGGTGAAAGTATTGATCAGTTATGCTTTGTCGTATCTGGATCTTTAGAAGTAATACAAGATGATGAAATCGTAGCTATCCTGTGTAAGTTTAAAAGTTTTACTTGTCAATTCTATTCAATCTTCTTGTTTTTGTTTTAGATTCATACTAAGTAATACTAGCAGAATCAATTCTCATCGGAAAACAATGTATAGTTCAGTTAGTTAGATGACAGACAATTTAGTAGGTATATATTTCAAAATGAAATTAAGCATCAAAAGCAGTACTGTCTAATACCTTATAATGTACACTCCAAACTAAATGTACTTTTTACGTAAGTGTGAACATTTTTAAACAGAATACATCTGTGAGACACATTATTATTCATACCATCTTTCATGTAACTAGGTAACTTCCTCGTGTGAAGTTGCACTTAATTTTTAAAAAAATAAAAATACACTTAACAGCAGACAAAATAATTTTTTATTTTAATAAAATACCGAAAATTTCCAACTATTCTTCCAGTAGAAAATCTCTCATTATAGATGTTTTATTTCATTTTAAATCATTTAAGACTAGTAGATGGACATTTAAACTAGTCAGACAACTAAATTATAAATCAATAATACTGAAACAATATAACCAATTTAGAAGAAGAAAAAAGATATTCGACAAAGTTTCCAAATATTTAGCTTAAGCAAATGAATGAATTCGCACATAAATTCTCCAATATTGTATATATATATATATATATATATATATATATATATATATATATATATATATTTCAGATTACAATAACACATATAAGTGAATAATATTGTATTTTAACGGATCTTCATTAGGTTTTACCGTGATAAACAGTTATATTTATATTCATATATGAAAAATGTTAGACGAATCATGGTAGTTTATGAGTCAATGATAACAATGAAACATGGTTTTAGATCATGGACTGACGTTAGTTAGATAACTATTGAAAACCAGGAATCACTATACCGATGTTTTGTTTTAGTATGAGTCAGTCCGTGATGTAAAGCTATTCACAAACCCTTATACTAGTATTAATCATAGGCGATTCCCGGATATTTAATAACAAGCCGTGATCAAGTTAGTTGAACCATATCAGGCATGAAGTAGTTATTCACCAAAATCATTCGAAGGTAGTAGCACAACATCGCCAATTGATTCATGTTACAAGTGTATATCATTGGACGTCTATTGACTGGTTTAAAGATTAAACACACACATCAAAACCTGAAGATTCTAGATTTGATCCTAGATAAGAAAGTGGACGCTCACTGTAAAGAATTTCCTCACTAGGACGAAAGTACTTTCTGATTCTGAAAGATTGTTTAACTACAATCAGTCAGTGATGTAAAACTACGAAATTCGGTAATCTTGATATACTATTAAATAAACAATAAAACGGAATACTTAAGTAACCATAACAAAATATATTCAATATGTCAAACAACTAAACAACGGAAGTGAATCCTTCTTCTATTATATACAGAAAATATTTTACCTAGCCAAAAGACAATCTTAGATTTTGAACTGACGAGATTTACTTCAGTTAATTTTTTTATAAATTAACAACTATACTCGTCTATTATTCAAATCAATACTTTCATGGATCGATGAATGTAAAATAGGTTCAAAAGGATAATTTGTACTTTACAATAACTAAAACAAGTTGAATGTACCGATGATTGTAATTTAGTACATAGATTTAAAGTATATCTTATTTTTTCTTTTAGAAACTATTGCACTTTGGTTTTTTTCTATATCAAAGTCATTACTTATTTACTTACGCCTTTTACTCCCAATGGAGCATAAGCCGCCGACCAGCATTATCCAACCCACTCTGTCATGGGCCTCCCTTTCCAATTCTATCCAATTCTTGTTCATTTTTCTCATGCCTGTCTCCATACCTCGACGTGATGTGTTCTTTGATCTTCCTCTACTCCTTTGCTCTTCAGGATTCCATGTGAGGGCTTGTCTCGTCACGTAGTTGGGCGCTAATCAGAAAACATTATGCTAACAAAGTCATTAATAAGTATTAATACTCTTTCACTAATCATTGAAATTTTTTCCTTTTCATATTAGCAAAAGGTGATATATTTGGTCAACCTATATTTAAGGATACAGATGTTGGTCAAAGTGCAGCAAGTGTACGTGCTTTAACATACTGTGATTTACAATGTATTAAACGGGATAAACTTATAGATATTTTAAAATTTTATTCACAGTTTGCAGTTTCATTCTCTCGGACACTTGTACTCAGTTATAACTTGCGTAATCGTGTAAGTTCGTTTTTATCATTTATCTATGTATATTTTGTTGTTTGTATTAATCACAGACAAGATTACCATGATTTATAATCTGCTGAAATAACATGATAGTTTATTGTATAATCTTGACGACAATTCCATTCCAAATGTAATGCAAATAAGTGTATGTCATAAATTAGTTGATCGCTTAATATGACTCATTATCATATTACTAATTCTTTTGTGTTAATGGAATTGTATTTATCTAGTCCCCATTTTGCTGCACAGCTAATTAAACGGACATTGAATTACTCTTTTTTTGGCCGCAAGTAGTTGGTGGTGAGTGACAGAATTCCATATATTCAGGTTATGTGGTGGTTGGTAATTTACAGAAAGATATATATACAATCTAGGAAGAAATGATATCTCAGTTGGGACTTCAACTTATATCATACAATGTCACAATTAAAAAAGTCACTGTTGAGTTATTCAACTAACATATATAACTAACTTCTCAACTCCTGTGTTTTATGAACTAGTTCACAGTTTATAAAGATTAATAGTTGTGAAGAAGCTAAATCAACGACATGTTTATCAATTTGTTTGTTAAATTTTATTCTAATTTTTCTATTTTTCAAAGGCTAGAATACATACAGAATTAGTATCAGAAGGGCTTTTGTGGAGATTGTAGTAATTTCAACAGTTGAAATCATGAGTCCATTGAAGCTAAACCACCATGGAAAACCTGGAAGCACTGGAGGGCCATTTCGTCCCATTGTGGGACTCCTCAGCAGTGCGCACCCACGACCCCGCCTCGCGGGATTCCAACCCAGGACCTATCACGCACTAGCGCTTAACCAACTAAACCACTGAGCCGGTACCAAATGATGTTTATTTTAACTTCAACTAATCCACCAAATTGAGGGGCACATCCATTATTGTCACCAGTGAGTTAATATCTCACAACTGACCCGGTTGAACTCCATTGATCACTACTTCTCACTATAACTCCAGTGGTTGGTTAAAAAATATATATAGTGAATAAGAATTACATTAAAGTGATCCTAAAATGATTGTCTAATATTTCATATGTTTTTTTTTTATATTTTTAAAGTGGTAATATTAATAATAATAATCAAATTTATAATTTTAATAAAACTAACAATTTTATTCTATACAATACACATACATATACAAACGTGTATGAAATGAAACTTTATAAATGAAAGAAAAAAATTGAAACAACAACCTTTATTCATTACATTTTATTATAACAAATAAAATGAAAATATTGAACATTTCTGACTAAAAAAAGATAATATGAAAGAATAATTAATAATGCATAGATTGAATGGTTTTTGTTTTATTAGATAAAATAAAATCCTAGTGTTTATTACAAAGTGAAATCAGTTGTAGAACCATTATTGTCCCATTAAATAAAAGAAATAATGCATCCATACACATTTCTGCATATATATATATATATATATATATATATATATATATATATATATATATATTGGAATAGATAAGTGACAAATCTTCACAGCTGAGTTTCAATAAATAGAAACCAAAATCTCATCGATTCTTTATATTTATGGTTTATATAAACCAAGAAGCATAAGAAAACTATTTTGCAATAGTTGGATATGGTTAAGCAGTTGAGGCTCATGGTAATTCGTAAGGTCGAGTTCAGGAACAACAGTTCTCGTGAAGAGCCAGACAGCTATACCAGTGAATTGGAATTCATCCGTTCATAAATTCAGCTCCAATTAATGTTTTTAGTATTGAAGAATCTTTATCTATTGTTACTAATGAGTTACTGTCGTACCACATCCCACTATTTCGAAGCCAAGCACTAAGGAAAACATGACTATCATATCATTAAGTAGATTTAAACGCTGTTTTTTTCATGACTCCTCAATTGAAAACAAATTTGAATGAAAATACCTTCAACATGTCAATTAAGCTTCATAAGATCATTCCGTCCGTTTTCAGTGTCGAAAACGTACAAGAACACGGAACAACAAATGTAAAAGAAGACAACCACTGTAGCGGCAGCTCAGCAGCAATAGGTCTCAACATACACAAAGGGAAAAGCAAGATTCTTCGATACAACACAGCATGTACCAATCCAATCACAATTGACGGAGAAGATTTGGAAGGTGTAAAAACTTTTACATATTTGGGCAGCATCATCGATGAACACGATGGATCTGATGCAGATGTGAAGGCGCGGATCGGCAAAGCAAGAGCAGTATATTTACAACTGAAGAACATCTGTAACTCAAAACAACTGGCAACCAAGACCAAGGTCAGAATTTTCAATACAAATGTGAAGACAGTTCTACTGTATGGGGCGGAAACTTGGAGAACTACAAAAGCCATCATCAAAAAGATACAAATTTTTATTAACAGTTGTCCATGCAAAATACTTCAGATTCGTTGGCCAGACACTATTAACAACAACCTACTATGGGAGAGAACAAACCAGATCTCAGTGGAGGAAGAAATCAGGAAGCGCTGGATGTGGATAGGACATACACACACATTGAGGAAAGCACCGAACTGCATCACGAGACAAGCCCTCACATGCAATCCTCAGGGCCGAAAGAGGAGAGGAATACCAAAGAACACATTACACCGGGAAATGGAGATAGACATGAGAAAAATGAACAAGAATTGGATGGAACCAGAAAAGAAGGATCAGAACAGAGTGGGTTGTAGAATCCTGGTCGGCGGCCTATGTTCCATTGGGAGTAACAGGCGTAAGTAAGAAAACTTACAAGAATCCCTATTTATACCATTGTAACCAGTAATACAGCATGATAAATATTTTTCTAATGTTTCCAAGAAAGAACGAACTGGTCTAATAAAAAGTATCCGTAGTATATACCAATAAACAAATGATGAAAGTAGAACTAAAAGACTTTCGAAAGCATGTAAAATAAATGGAAAGTCCTAATGTATATGCTAAACATGAGAAATAATCAAAATATTATGATCAACAGTTAAAATAAAATAAAAAATAATTCATATACTTTTCAAGACAAAAGTTAAAAATTATTCTGAGAGATTAACAAAATCAATTTCAGCGAGCTTCTCTTCCTTATCTCTGATGTTAAAATTTAAGTTCCGAAGAGCCAGTCTCAAGGGGATTAGAAACACGTTATTGTTTAACCATTTGCTAACAAATGAAGTCATCGAATTATGAAACATTATAAAAATGAAGTATTTTTTATACGATGAATAATGAGATATCAGTTCTTAGGATAAAAAAGGCAACTCATATAAATGGATGACGTGAAGACGAACAATCTGGTTGAGATACCTTTTATAAAATAATATAAATCAGGGTAGACCAAATGTGTAACCATATAAAAAGTAATCTAGATCAAAAGTGTGAATAACATAGATAACAATGAAAAACTATCCGGAGATTTATTCATTTTAAAATTAGTTCTTTTTTCTAAATAACATCAAATGAAGTAATACTATGGAGTACTATATAGTTATTTCATTGTCTTTCTGAACTCTTTTGTACTGTACACTATCATTCCTTCCATATCCATGAAAGGGTACTCATTACTGACGTTGGATATTATTTTTTCCATATTACGGATTGGCTGAAATAAAGGAATGTGAACTTTGTATTACAGTCTAGGAGCTTAGTGATATTATACTTGTCATACAATCCAAAGCTTCTAACAGTTATAACGTAAAATATTTATCAATAGTTAGTTCTTAAATTAGTATAAATGTTCCTTCGAACAACCTACCATATTATTATTCTTCTTTATCATAGTTAACATTTCGCAAAATATCTGATGTTCGAAGAGAACAAGAATTAAATGAATTAAGACGAAGTCAACCTCCAATATCAAGTTTAGCACCAGACCATCCTGTAAGACGATTAATATCCCGGTTTTGCAGTGCAGCTACATCAAATTTAAGTCGTTCCAGTTCATTCAGTTCAAATGAACCTCGAGAAAGTGGAAAAACAAGTGGAAAATCAAATGATACATCGTTGAGTGTTACAGTGAGTCAAAATCCATATAATTTATTGTTAAAATATATAATGTATAAAACATTTTACTATAAAACATTTCGTATAAAACCAATTTAAATTTGGTAATGTTAATACCCATACAAAAAAGTTTGTAATAATGAAGTCTTGTTTGGGGCCGGGATATTTACCAGTTAGGTGACACTAATCATTGTGGTTACTTTTTCACATAAATATACCATTCGTTATGAAATTTTAGACCAGTTTATAGAGGCTTAGAATTACATAATCATGTTAATTTTTTCGTCAGGGTTGTTAAACCTTATGTCCTTGAGATAATGAAGGTTTGTAGCTTAGATAGATAATTTTGATGGAGTTTTATTCTCTCAGCTGGATGGATGGAAGCTCCACGACTAAACCATCCAGCTTACAGAACAAAACTCCATCAAAATCTTATATCCATAATCCACAAAAAATGTAATATTACTACGGGAGAGTGAGTTGAATAATACTATATCATCAGTAAAGGATTTTATATTCATTGAGTTTTTAATCAATAATATTGGATACAGTAGTGTAAAAGTCAAAAAAATAAAAAGTAATATTTTTTTCAATAGTCTATAAAACATTTTAATGCCAATTTTCGTCTTTTAAAATAAACCTAATCGCTAACAGGTTTTTATACTTTTGTCAAATAGTTTAATATTATAATAAAACTTTTTCAGCTCAGAGATTGTAAACAGTAATTTTTGACGAAAAATATTGATTACTGAACAAATCAACTTTCTGTATATCAAATTGCATTCAAAACAGTTCAAATTATGTCATTATTAAATTGGAAATGTATGCCGAATTTTCACATTCAACTTAACAAATTATTTTACCTAAGATGCCAGAAATGATTAGATTGATTCTATTTTATTTCATGTCTACAACTAATATAATTAAGTCATGAGAATCAAATAAACAGTCTATTGTGTGATCTTTAACATTTTAAATTTAAGAAAGAATCAGAAAGAAATAGATATTACCTAAACAATCTTTATCAGTATGGTGTTGTGGAGATCCTGGGTTCGAATCCAACGTATGAGATCGTGAATACGCACTTTTGAGGAGTTCTATACTAAGATGAAACGGCTTCCAGCTTTTCAATAATGGTCTACATTGATCAATTCATGATCTTAATCAAAAAGGTTATAAACACTTCACAACACCTTAAAAACAAATGAATCAAAAATGTTTCATTAAGCTATTAGAATTGTCCAAACAAAATTAATTCATTTCACCTGGTTCGTTGATTGACTAAAATATATCGAAATGAACATTTTAATTATTTTTTTAAAAAAATATGAATTTATACTTCAAATCTCTGCAATATATTTTATGATACATTGATCAAACAGAATGAAAATTTCAATAATTAAAATCATGAGTCAATTGAAGCTAAATAGCCATGGAAAACCTAGAGACACTGGACGGCCGTTTCATCCTAGTGTGGGACTCCTCGGCAGTGAGGATCCATGATCCCGCCCACCGCGAGATTCGAACCCATGACCTTTCAGTCTCACGCGCGAACGCTTAAACATAAGACCACTGAGCTGGCCGACATCCAACGGTGTTAATGTCTAACTTCAAGCAATCCATTCGCGGTGGGGCGGGATCGTAGATGTGCACTTCCAAGGAGTCCCAAACTAGGACGAAACAGCCATCAAGTGCTTTCAGGTTTTCCATGGTGGTTTAGATTCAATTGACTCATCATTTCAACTACTGAAATTTCTAGAATGAAAATTATTCAGTAGGAATCATTTCGTATCCCTATGCAAACAATCTATAAGAATGAATTAAGTATATTCCTTTTATAATAGAGGAGGAAATAAAACATAAAAATGAGCAAAATAAGAAGAGATTTATTCATTTCACAACAAAAAACAAAACGGAAATTAAATTAAATTTAAAAAGTAAATTTGAGAAATCCGTTTTTTTTTAATGCAAATTTCTAGAGGAAATATTCACTTATTATTTAACTAGTTTAAATGAAATTACAGCATTTATAATTGAATCATGTTTCTTCTTTATTGAATGAAATGCAATATATTTAGACTAAAGTTCCCTTAGTGTTATTCTATTCCATTTTAAAATCAAATGAAGAGTCTTAAAAACTTAAGACGTTTTAAATGTTGCTCTCTAGTTTGAGACTTTTCATAAATACACATATACACACAAGAGGAGGGTTAAGTTTAGATCGCTAACTGAATAAATTTAGAACTGTTGTTTATTGAATTTGAACTCACTGGCTGAATGAATATTGATCGAAGGTTTCCTAGTAAATAAGTTTTAAATTTAGATACTGATCTATCTGCTTCGGATTTAGAAGTCCCTTAGTATCATATAAATAGAATGGCTCAAAAACGAGTGAATAAGCACTATGTAAATGGAGTACCTATCGCGATTACAACTAAACAAGAGAGTCCTGAATTTTTGTTTACGTACAATGCTCTGAAAGTACACTAATTAGCAGCCTTAAAGTAGTATGAAATGGTTGCTTATAATCCGTTGTTTCCAATAGCTTTTTAGTTAATATCAGCTTTGGATTGAAACGAAAATTAATCTACCGTTTCTTGATAAATCATTTCTTTTATTATATTAAGATCTTTTCTTAGTTGACTGACCAATTAAACAGGTAAATCACAAATGAAAACCACTTCTACACATGTTATTCCATCATTTGTGGATGTTTGGGATTATGTACATGTATAAATGGAAAAATGTAAAAAGCTCAGTAGTTATGTTTTTAATTAGTTCTGTTTTAAAACAAAACTATTGTAATTTGAATAGAAAAATTAATCATAAATCTTCTATATCTTCAATAGCTAACAAACAAAACTAGTTACGCCTTTTCAGTTCTCACAACCTCGTAAAAATTCGAAATGTACACCACAAGTCATTTTGGTGGATATGGAGGATCCACCTTGAGGAGTTGAAAAACCCTGATTCCAAAACAATGGTCACACGGGCTCCAGGATCTTGAGGGAACAAATGGCATATGAACCAAGTGTTGGTTACCGGCTACCATGGGACTGCATCTCCGGACGAATCAAGTGATTTGTGTCGCGCATATGTATTCGGTGCCCCTTTGTACCAATATTTGTGTTCAAATAAATAAAATAAATAATCACTTTGAATAATTCCAACTAATACTAATAAAATATTATGAAACTTGAGAAAGCAATAAACTAGCAATAATAAATATATTTTTGTTATATCCCAATGAGTAGAAAAATTACATTTTCGACTTAATGTAAGCCGCTTCTTCAGAGTTAATAAAGTTTTGCATAGTTATTCTCATAATATTATAGCATGCACGGGAAGGCAATCAAATGTACATAATAATTAAGGAATTTTCATCATCATCTTACGACATTACCTCTTCATAAAATGAAATTAGATTACTTCTTTTACTGGAAAATAATATCGCTACAAACTTCTTTACATAACCCGATATTAGTAACTTAGGCCGAATGAAATATATAAAGCAAGTAAATGAGTTGGTAAAATTATGATGAAAATTAGATTTTTTAGTAAAGTGGAATGGAAGATTAAAGTGAATGGAACCGAATGAGTGATTTTATATTTGTCTCTTCATCTAAAATTATATATGTATAAAAGCAATTAAAATAATCAATTAGAAAAGGATAACACTGCAAGTCCAATGAAATTTCCATATATATATATATATATATATATATATATATATATATATATATATATATATATATATATATATATATATATAACTGAAAGGTAGGAAAACCTAAGTGTAATATTCTAATTGTTAGAAGCAGCACAATTTACCACCAAGATTTGAGTTCAGAAACTTACTGACAGCAGGAAATATCTATAAAACAGGAATTTAAGACATCAGGTACGTCAGTTTTGAAAATACATTACAATTGATTAATCGTCTTGAGTAGTGACTAATTCCATGTTTGTCTAGTCTTTAATTTTGGTCGGATGTTTTCGATCAAGTTATACTTCAGCTACTAGTTTAAGTAACTCGACATTTTGCGCACTATGTTGTGATAGTCGCAGGTAGTCAGCAGGAAACTAAACTTAAGGCTTCATGATGGTTAACAAAAGTTCAGTAGTACATACATACGATTTTGAGGAAACTGATCTTCGATCTTTATCAGTACAGTTCAACCATCACTACACGTCTAAATAAACGTGACTCAGTTACTACCCAATGATCAGTCAATTGTAAATATCTCAGTCCTCGAGGAAGTCTGTTGCAAACTTAACATCTTAGTGATAATTTTTCGGATTGTGAAGCTGAATGATGTGGGTTTCAATCCAAAAGCGAATATCACTTCCTTTCATTTATAGGAAGCATTGTATTTATTCGATTAGAAAACGTAGTGACTAATTTGCGTAAAACTAAATGTATTTTTAGAAATAACTACATTTATGGTATATAATTGTAATAAGAAAGCACGTATCCCTTTGTAATCACAAATCCTAACGTATATATGCTCTCGTAAAAAGAAGGATCACTTAAGCATATCTCTTTGCTTGTAGATTATTTCCGACTCCATACTAAAAACTTAAATTAAACATTTGAAAAAATAACCCATTCTCTAATCTAATGTTTTTCATAAGTCAATTTTTTTTAAATGTTCATGATACGAAATATTCATAGTTGAATAACTATCTTTCTTAACTCATTAAAATAAACAAAAACACATGTATTAATTTTCAGAATCCTATACCAGAAACTATATCACCAGAAAGTATTCCGAATTCAACAAAGCCAAAATCAAGTTGGAGTCGACTTCTTGATGTACCTAAAACAACATTATCAACACAAACAACAATAAAAATAACAACCACAACTACAATAGCAACAACAACAACAACAACAACAACACTAACAACCAATACTCATCAATCTATTACAATGAATAATGAAACTATAAAAGAAACAAAACAATATGATGAGAAAATTCAATTATCAACTAAATTTTCTAATGCATTAATTATAAATAAATTAGATAGCAAAAATATCTTTGAAGGTGAACAAGAAAAATTTCATAAAACTATTATGCAACATATTGAATTATTAAGGAATAATTTTTTAACAAATATACGTATTTTATCAAGTCGAATAGATTTAATTGATCAAAGAATAACACGTATAACACAATTAATTAATCATCATCATCATAATAATAATAATCAAGAAATGAAAGGTTTGTAAAAAGAAAATTTTATGATATGAAATTTCAAAGTTATTATAAGTACTATTTATATACTATTAATAATAATGAAAACAGTATATAATGATATACTACTGAGTGAAAGCAATCCAAAACAGATTACTCTTATTCAGCTATATATATATATATATATATATATATATATATATATATATATATATATATATATATATATATATATATATATATATATAATTTATTTTAATAAATAAATGTTTAGGAAAGTTACTTATAAAGTTTGCTTTTTCTTTCTTTATTTCAGTAGTATGTCTCATATGTTTCAAGATTTATAGGAAATCACAATTATAAAATTAGTAGAATGTAATTCTATCCACAAAAATATGATTTCTTTACAATGTAACCAACTATTATAGTCTAATATTATACTATATACACGTGTTTGACTTGAAAGAAATATCTATTGGCCATACCACCACAATATAAATTACTTACTTATCTACTTACGCCGGTTACTCCCAATGGAGCATAAGCCGCCGACCACATATTCTCCAACCCACTCTGTCCTGGGCCTTCCTTTCCAGTTCTGTTCAATTTTTGTTCAATTTCACATGCCTGTCTCCATTTCTCGACGTGATGTGTTCTTTGGTCTTCCTCTTTTCCTTTGGCCTTGAGGATTCCGTGTGAGGGCTTACCTTGTGGTGCTCCCGTTTGGAGCCCCTCAGGGGCTACCGCCGGTCCCGAGCCCGGATAACAATGGAAAGTTGGGCATGGGGTTAGCGACCCTATTCCCGCAGAAAAATAACTCGCTAAAAAAGCGCTAACCAGAAAAAATTACTCCAACCATTATGTAAACAGTAACTTCGAAATGTGTAGGGGCTGGTAATATATCAAGCCCACATAGGTTATTCTAGCCTCTCGACAGATCAATCTATTTATTCTTCTCAAGCCACATTTTTACCCAGTCACTTATTTGTTTATCAACTTTGACTGTTTTTATGTGAGCATATATGCCTGATTTTCTTACCTTACTCATCACATGTCTGTAACTTATTTTTGTGTGACTATAAATATCGATTAGCGCTTGGCGAAATCGAAGTGGCTTACACGCCTTCTCCACCGTGCGTCATTTTGCCTCGTTTCTTCGATCGTTTTTATTTGGATCAATGATTATATGAAATACACGTAGTCGAAATTCACTCATATTTGGTTTATTTAATTCCGTTATACACTAATGTGAGTTAAGTCGATGATTATATGATGGGATTTACGATATGTATATTTCGATAACAATCATAATACGATCTAACTGGAGTCAGATATAGGGCCACAAAAATGGACACTTAAATAACAGTCAATCAAACGAAACTATATAAATACATGCTCTGCCGTTTCAATGCTTAATAACTGTTTATCGTCTACTATAGTTTAATAACTGAAATTACTGTACATTAATATATTTATAAGAATGTTATTGGTGAAAAGTAAATGTAAACATGTATCATCACAGTGTGGCTAAGATTTAAATAAACTTTTCTCGACTGAATAAAAGGTAAATAAATTTTATACATAAAGGAAAGTTTGTGAATGTCAACTAAGGTAGTTGTCAATGTCCAGAGCTGGGATTAAGTTGGTAAAGAAATGAAATATGGATTATCAAAATCCAAATGAAATAAGAGAATTTAAGAAAATTATTAAAATAAAAAATATAATAACCCCAATCACGACAGTAAGGAAAGATTGTGGGAGTTAAGACAAGTAATTACATCATCAAATTAACAGAACACATGTTAGTGGTAACTATAGATTGAAAACGTTAAAGAATCAAGTGATCAAAGACTAGGATAAACCAAAAACTGCATTTATCAAATAAAGGAAACAATAATTAGTTCTTTTATCGGGGCAGAAACAAACAGATAACTGTTGCCTTTATATGAATTCATCATAAATATTTGTGGTGTTCATTAGCCATGTGCTTCAGTGAATATTAAGATATAATAGTCTAGATGTTTTCTTATTAAACTTGGGAAATCTCAGATATCAACTCAGTGTTCACATTCAACAAAATCTACTGGAGAACAACATTTATTATTCGGATATTTAAATACTACAGTTCACAAATTAAGTAGATAATTTGTGAATTTTTCCATCAGTTCACCAAAGTACCCGATTATTGAATGAATTTAGATAACTTTCTAAATTCAAATACATCGATTTACATTTTTTTCAGTCCTTAACAGAAAAATCTTTCTATATACCGTTTTACATTGATTTTCCACTTTATTAATTGAAGAAATGTTCTGTTAATTAGACAAGTCTAAAACATTTTGAATAATAACAATTGATAATAATGTTCACATTGAACTTAAAATTTATATTAATCGACGAAATATCAAGACCATTTTTAGATCATTATTAGTAAGGGGTTTGAGTTATCTCTTCGCTACTATTTCCTGACGTATGTACATAGATTTAAACCCTTGCAAATAATGATACAAATATTATACCTGTTTGACAAACTAGAGAATGTCTAAGCTCAGTAAACCAATGTATAATGCATTGAGTGTTTAAATTGTAAGGTACTACATTCGAGTAATAGTGTGAACATCAACAATAAGGTTCAGGTACATAAAGCTGACCAATCCAATATAGGAAGAAAAAGGAGTCGTATATTCTACCGCTAGTTACAATTCATCTTTTCTATGTATAAGGTTATTTTTATACAAGATCATTATTTATTTTATTTAAGACGATGGCATATATGTCTTTAAAAGAACGGCTATCATTTTGGATATTTTATGAAAGTCAGAAAGAAAACTGGTTCCCTAAAACAATGTAGTAGTCTGATGAGTCAGATAGGTAGTACAATATTCAATATTGAAAACATCTTGAATACAATAGATGTGACACATTTAACAAGGGACTGAACATACATGATCATTTAAGTTTTAAAATATTAAAATGCTATTGTAAAATAAATAAGAGTATAGTTTCAGAGTATTGCAAATATGTAATTCATTAAGAGTTTACCCGTACCGTCTTTGGCTTCATGTTCACGTTACTGATTATCCACTTTACAAAAATGATTGTACATTTGTTAAAGGAATGTAGTATGAGTATAAATTTCCAACCAAACTGTAAATAAGCTTTAAAAATTATTTAAGTTCAACATCAGCAATACTACCACTACACGACTAAATATATCGATCCAACAATGTAATAATTAACTATACTAATTCTCACTATTCATCATCATACTATACTCTAGCACCTATCATTTGGGAATGGGAACAACACACAGAATTAAGCATAAATATGTAATCATTAGAAATCTTATGGTTTGCTCTGACTATAGGTCGGTAAGAATAAAGATATGAGTAATTACATAAAATATCTGAATCCCTTTTAGAATCAATCATTACTGACGTCATTGATATTTATATTGGTTGTTTGAATCTTCCCTGTTGATGTTTGAAACTGCAATTGATCAATAGCAATATCCAAACAACTAATACAAAAATGAGTTAAACTTCAACCGATTGCACAGGCTAATGGTTATCTGGACTCAGTAGCTTAGTGAATAATGAGATGGTGTTTGAAGTGAGTAGTACTAAATTCGAGTCCCGGAGTGAATATCAACTCTGGGATGCAGGTATATTCGCCTAACGAGCCCTAAAATAGGACAAAACATGCGCCTTAAATTCCATTGCTATCCACTATCCATCTCTGCTTATCAATAAGTTTTAAAGAGCTAAAAATAACTCATATGAACTATATGGAAATTATAAAATCACAATTTAGAAAGTCTCATAATTTCACATGATTCCAGTCACATTTCACTATGACATTTAAACAAAACAAAAAGAATTCTTAGTACATAAGGACAGGCCAGCATTTAGAAAAAAACGATTAGATTTCCCTAAAACTTTAATTATTTTTATTAATTTTAATGAATAAAAACAGATTTTCTCGTGAAAATAAAAACAATAACCTGAGTATTATATGTCTATTTCAAGTTTTATTTTATTGTGTGAAGGAAACAGGAAATGTTATGAGGGTTAAATATGGATTGGTATATTATTTAAGATTTTCAATAAATAAATACATAAACAAAAAAGGGAAAATTTAAAACGTTAACGGAAATAATATTATGGTTTGTTTTAATATTAATATCTATGCTTTCTTTGTAATAGAAAGATTAAACTAACAATCCATTCTAGTCTATAAACTTTCAAGATAGGTAGTTACTATAGTTAAATATATTTAAAATAACAATGAATGTATGTATGTTATAGTGTTGCTTAGACAACAAAAAAGAGGGAATTTTGATAAACGTACTTTTAATATAAGTGTTTTAAAAATTTATTTTCATGATAAAAGTAACAATTAAGAATGTTTACTAGTTTATTAAAGAAAAAATTGATGAGACGATAATTTATGGACGACATTTTGAGCAACGTTAAAGTGACTCTGAGAGTGTACACCTAATAAATAGGACTAAATGAAGGTTATAAACCAGTGTGAGGAACTAGAATTATAAGCTATTTCAGAAGGGGTTGTGTTAAGATTTTAGAAATTTCACTGGTTGAAATCATGAGTGAATTGATTTCAACCAGTGAAATTTCTAAAATCTTAACATAACCCCTTCTGATAATAATCATCTGCTCACTAGTGACTGATTTCAAAAGACATTCTTGGAGTTCTAGTTAGAATCCGTGACCAGTGGAGTTCAACCAGGTCTGTTGTGAGATATCAGCTCACTGGAGACAATGGTGGATGGTGGCTCAATTTCGTGCATTGGTTGAAGTTAGACATTAACACCGTTGGATGCCGGCCAGCTCAGTGGTTTAATGGTTAAGCGCCTGACGCGAGACTGATAGGTGCTGGGTTTGGATCTTGCGGGAGGAGGCAAGATCGTGGATGCGCACCGCTGAGGAGTCCCATACTAGGATGAAACAGCCGTCCACTGTTTCCAGGTTTCCCATGGTGGTTTAGCTTCAATTGACTCATGATTTCAACCAGTTATGGTTAAGGTTAGGAATTAGATATGGGGTTTTTATCATGAACTGACATCAGCTATAATGCCAAAACTCTTTTTAGTCAAATGGATGAGTAAACTACGCGTTAAAATCCAAGACCTGTTATCTTAAATCTGACTGGTTCGTCCAAAAATTAATGA